CACTGAGACAGGATGCAGCAGCTTGAGGCTTGCAGCCAAAGGCTGGTGTGCAGTCTCTTGGATGAGCACGGCTGAGAAGGGGATTATTTTGTGTCTCAACAGCAGAAGGCAGGTGGGATGGAGGGTCAGGTTTTGACCTACACTGTGGTAGTGGCCAGCAAGATGCTGCTGCTGGCATACGTAAGAGCAGTGGTATCAAGCAGAGGATGCACAGCACAGGGTGCGAACTAGCTGGCAGGATTACAGGGCGTTTCAGGTGCCTGCTGTTCTCTCCCATTCTTACCTCGCTCGATGGCCTCAGGCAGCAGGCACTGCGGTCTGGACGGCTCAGAAGGGAGACAACTTGGGGGAGCACACGTGTGGCATTTCTGCTGAGCTAGGAGCACAGGGGAAAGGATGAGAGCCTTACCGCTGCTCTGCTTCCTGCTGCCATACTCTATCAGAACTTCCTTTTGTTGAACTCAGACACCTTCCTCCTGTTCCTGTAATTGGGCTTTGCCTGAGGACACAGAAAGGCAGAGGGAGATGCAAATAGAGCAGCGAGAGGTAACACCACGCAGTACAAAGGAGAGTGTCATTCGCTCGGGGGTCATTGGCCTTGTTAGCTCCAACGCCGCCGATACGGTTATCACGGATGTGTAAGGTACATCCTAGATTGCTCTGCCAGCACGCCGGGAGCAGCCTGCTGCCTGCAGAAGCAAACCCACTCCTCTCTGCTCTCCCTCTATTGCCAGACACCCCTTGCCACACCTCCAGCACTTCCCAGCTCAGCAGAGCTCACCCTGCTCGCACACAAGGCGATGCTGAATGAAGGCAAGGTGGGAACGGCCAGCTCTCCGTGCTCCCTGACATTTCAAACCCACTCTCCCTTGAACGTTGCTGACCTAACTGGATTCGGCAAGTCTAAATAGGCCAACTGAAGAACCAGGGATCGCGCCACAAGTCCAGTCAGTTGATTTCTTTCCTCCATTTTGCCCTTACACAAAGATTCCCACCTTCAAGACCCTTTCTCCTTACCCTCCAGCCTCACACAACAAGCATCCTTTTCTGTGGGCTCCTCTGAGGCAGCCAGCAGGCAATCCTATGAAATCAAGGTATGCTGAATTCTTCCCCCAGCCCCCAAAATGCATCTCTTCCCCTCCGTGGGTCTGGCTGTCTCTTTCTCTCTCTCTAGGCTGCCCAGCAGCTTTCATCTTTGTGTTATAGCGTCTCCTCGCCTCAAACACTGCTGCAATTCTTCCCCTTCTCAGGGAGCGTGGTTATTCTGGGAGCCCCCTGCCAGCTGTGCAGAACGAAGGCATTTCATAATGGAAGTTGTGCGGCCACCTAAACAAAACACTGCTTGCTCGGGCTGCCTCTCGCTTGCAACTCCTGCCAGTTTCTAGGCAAACTGGAACTCCAGCGGGCCTTGCTGGGAGCCGCTGCCTCAGCTCAAAGGATGCAAAAATGCTCAGGGAAGAGTCTCCATTCCCAAGAGCTCTGATTTGTCTTTAAAAAAAGAAAGGGAGAAGATGAGCACACACTCATCCATGTCCAAGCATCTTGGCCACCCTGGGCACGCAACCACCACCAAGTGGACCAATGCAGGCAGGTGGAGCTCGGCCAGCCCAAGGAGGTCCAGCCCGTGGATTCTTCCTCAGAGGAGCCTCCTTTTGCTGAGTCCTCGTGCAGAGGCTGCAAACCTCCTCCTGTGATCAGCCAATGGCCGGGGTGAGACAGCAGAGGATGCAACCTCACCCTTCCCCAACGCCCCGTACACACCCAAGGTAGCTCCCACACTGCTGGAGGCGGAAGCTGACTGCTGCAGGCTCGCTCTGTTATCTCCTCTTGGCAAGAGAACGGCGCTGATAAATCGCTCGCTGGTTATTCATTAACTGCCAGAGGTTTGTTCCCAAGATGGAGAGAACACCACCATTGATTTAGAAAAAGGATAAAGGAAGGTCACCAGCAAGGGACACCCATTCTGGGAGACCTCTGCGCCCTGGCACCCCAGCTGCTGCCAGGAGCACAGGGGGCTCGCATGAGCACTGCTGGGATTCAGAACAACCAGGGCAGAGAGGGGAGCATGAGAAACTTGAAAACTCCTTGGGAAGGTGGGAAAGGAGCTCCTGCTGCACTCCTTTTCCTTTCTGGGGCTTTCCCCACGGAGTTCGTGCCAGTTCACGGCACTGCTGAGGTCTGTTATCCCCAGGCCTGCACTCAGCAGCAGCACAGCAAGCAGCGGGAGCAGGCAGAAGGCAGCATTTTAGGGAACCCCTACAGAGGGCAGGTGCCCAAGGCAGGCAGCACAGTGAGCACGGGCACAGCACCCTCTGCTGCAGCTCGGCCGAGCGACGCGGGGCACCACGGAGCGGGCACACCAACCGCAGGCAGGGAAGCATCGTACGCCAGCTTCTGCATCTCCAGACAATCAAATCCAAGCTTGGCTGAGCCCCTGTGCTGACTTTCGTAGGAACAAATGAACTCACAGATGCTGGGCTTGCCTTTCAAGGAAACTCTGTTACTGGAAGTAACAGCAGCATAACAAGAGATCGCTGAGAAGGCAGGGAAATTCAAGTAGTTATTGCTAGAGGAAAGCATAGGTATGCGGAGGTGCTTGGTTTCAGAGCAATACATGCAGGCAACGCAGCCCTTCACTCTGTGAGTCTCTCCCCTCTGCATGCCCAGCGCTGCTGTCGTGGCCTGACACCCCACCACCCACCGCTCTTCCATTTCTAATTTTCCAAGCTTCTCCTTACACCGGGGCAGGCTGACCTGACTCCTGCTCGCTTTGTACTAATCTGGCCTCATAAAACAAGCAGAAATCACCCTGCAATGGCAAGCAGCATCCCTGTGTTCTCTATTGTACTATTAATTGAAAGAACTAAGTTAGCTAGACACAGCACCTAGCTATAAATCCTTCCAGAGGTTCTTTTTATTTCCCTTAGCATTCCTCCCAATAAAGATCACTTGGTCAAGTAAGGCTTTATGTAGTACAACTGACCAGTCCATTAGCTCTTTTGAAACAGTACAGACTAAATAACCTTTCACACCTTGAATTTTTAAAGCATACCTTCTGCACAATCACCTCCAAATCTCTGTTTCTTAACCTTTTCTTTTTTCCTCTTTTCTAACTGAAGGACAACCTAGCACTTGAAAAAAAGACAGTGAACCAGCTTGTGAAGTGTTGCTACCGTGGTTGCCATTTAGGAGTCATTTAAAAATGAGATTACAGCTTTAATTTACATATTTTCCATTAGTTGACACCCATTTTCTTTTCTTCCTTGGGAGTGCATCAGTCTGGTTTACAAATTGTCAGAAAAATTGTTTTCTGGTGTAACTCTGGATGCTTTATGGGCTGCTGGTTGGAAAACGTTCCTCAATAAGCTGTAAATTTCTCCAACAGCCACCAACATACCAAAAAGCCAGCGAGTCATCTGGGAAATAGCAGCTACATCCCTCGCTATATCCAATAACTAAGGCTTTTTATAGCAAAACAGGTTTTAGAGCAACATCCACAGCGCCTGCTGGGTACACATTCATATACTTTCCCTCAGTAAGTGTATTAAAGCAGGCGCTCCTAAGCATGGATTATTCCATGTTTATACACGAGTAGTATGCAGAGTTTAATGTCTTTCTTTCCTCATGAGAGGAAGTGTTTATAGAAGTAATATCTTTTTATGAGACTACCTGATATAGTTATGAGCAGGGGAAAAAAAAAAAAGGCAAAAAAAAAAAAAAGCGAAGCATCAGCAAGCACTTACACATACCATCACTTTTTACAGGCATTTTTATAGGAACTCAGTAGTTCAGCCACCTTTGAGCTCTTAATTCCCTGATAGTACTTAGTCTCTTCAGGAACAACCACTGAAACTATTCCATGCAGCCATTAATAGGATTATTTTCTTCCAGGCATTCCTTTTCCTGCCTGTATTTCTAATGGTTGGTCAGAAAGCTCTCGTTCCTCTGCTGAACCTGTTCTACCAACTTCCCATATTTCTCCCTCTAACATCATAGTCCCAGTTACGCTTTTCCCTTTCTAGAATATATAGAACTGTGGCATTATTCATCGGGAAACAGCACCAGGCCTTACAAACCTACACAAAGATGTGTCCCTTGCCCTGCAGGGAACTTACTGCCAAGCTTCTGTGAAACTTGCTCCCCAGTTTGAACTCACCCTCTTTGCAGAAAAATCCCAGCACCTTGCCATTTTCCCTACGCTATTCTTGCTTGCACTCTCCCTGCCACCTTCTCAGACCTTTCCAAAGAATCGCCCTTACTCAACTGCCTTTGTTCACACTAATGTCTTTGCGTATAGCATGTTGAATTTCAGTACTTGATAGCTAAAAGCATCAAGCAGAAGAGAAATTGCTAGAGCTGAGTCTCCTGCTGTTTCCACCAGTGGCTGCAAAGGGCCATGCCAGAGCTAGTGACTGCAGCACAGAAAGGCAGGGCTCTCTAGGACGAAAGGCTTTCACTTATAGGACAAGAGGGAATGGCCTCAAGCTGTGTCAAGGGAGGTTCAGGATGGATATTAGGAAAAACTTCTCAGAAATAGTGGTTAGGCCTTGGAACAGGTTGTCCAGGGAAGTTGGGGAGTCATAATCCCTGGAGGTGTTGAAGGAGAGGTCGGAACGTGGTTTATTGGGCAATGGTGGTAGGTGGATGTTTGGACCAGATGATCTCAGAGGTCTTTTCCAACCTTAACAATTCTGTGATTCTAACGTAAGTATCAAGGAACAGAGATGCTTCCCCCATTCCATCAAAGACTGAGATCCAGAAGAGACAGAGCCAGCGAGGAGACAAACAGCCCCCTTCAGCACCTGAAGTGTTCCCTACAGCCTTCCAGACAGCTGTAGTGATGCACCAACACCTTAGGCCTTGACCCACTGCAATGAGAGAGCACAGTGTGGGTTTTTCCAACTCTCAAACTCACGCACAATCCTTTGGGACATGACCCCAGGCAAATCACAACTATCATTCTCCAGGTCAGGCTTGGGAACAGTCACATACACCAGTCATGCTTCTACATCCATTTTATACACAGTGCCATACAATATACAGAAAAGTTTATATACATATATCTTTATATAATATGCTATATTAATCTGTATCTTTCTTTACAGCAATATTAGTTTAGATCTTTCATACATAGGTACAAAAAGTCACATGAGAATGGCACATGAAGAGTGCTTTAGTTTCCTTGTAGTCTTCATGCTGGGGCAGCTCGGAGCAGGGATCTGAAGGGCAGCATTCCTGGGACAGGCAGTGCCCTGTCGGTTGAGCATGGGGACACAAGATCCTGTGCTGTTTTCCCCCTGATTGCATATGCAAGTGCTCCAGGTCCTGCAAGAGGCAGTCAGAGCTCCCTAGAAGGGCTGCTTCACCCATAAACACAAAAGGCTTTACCTATAAAGAGGCAATTGGGGTCAAAGAGTTAAATTCACAGCTACCCTAGAGTCTGAGCTGCCCCAGCACATGACGTGAGATAGGTGACAGCAGGCAGAAGGGCTTTTTCCATAGAGGCATTGGTGTCTGCTGAGAGAGAGAGGAGCGGGAGGCAAGGGAGTTGCTGTGTGCCACTGCTGCGTGGAGCGCCCCACCAGCAGACAGCTCCTGTCACACAGAGGCCTGTGCAGCTGGGCTCCACCCAGCACGGCTGGCACTAAAGAGCACAAAAAGAGAAGCGAAAGCAGCTTCCCACAGCTCCTCAGGCCTTGCTGTCTCTGCTCGTTCACAGCCATAAAGGAGGAGAGGCAAGACTAGTGGCTGTCACAGCAGGACATGGCAGCAGACAACTGAGCTAAAGGAAAGGGTCTTAAAGGGCAGAGCGCTCCTCTCCTGCTGTCCCAAGCATGCAGATATAATCCCTGTTGACATTAGTAATTAAGTTTATCACAAAGAAAAGAAGGAGCTTGAGACTATTCCCTGGACATCACCTCTGCCATCAACTGCAGTGTTTGTGGAGGGAAAGCTGGGAAGCTGTGCAGCCTCAGCAGCCGCAGCTGATGCCGCTGGGCCACCAGACAGTGAGCACTGTGGACATGCTGAGAACGGAGATAAGACCCTAAAAAAGGTGCCTGGTAGTGGCCTAGCAAGCACACCACATTGCGATTGCTTTGCGCAGACAAGCCGCCTGAAGCTACGCGTCACGGCAGGACAGACGGCACAGGCGAGTGCCGCCCAGGCAGTCTGAGCGCTGCGTGATGCACGTGCTGCCCTGGGCTGCTCCCTCGGCCTGGTACTGCCAACACGCACCAGGTACCTCCAACTCTGAGCCATCAGAACTGCACAAAGCACCAGATGGAAAGCAGGGCAGTGGAATCCCATTTTAAAAAGAAAAAAAAAAAAGTTATGCTTGTTTCTGTGCTGCTGTGTTTAATGTTCTTGCAGAAATAAGTAGCCAGATGAAGGTTCCCTCATCAGACAGATATGCAGGGCGGATAGGAAGGTTCAGTAAGTGAAAAACAAAGCGCAGGGTGAAGTGGTGAGGTCAGGCCTCAAACACAGCAGTGACAGCTGCAAGAATGCCCGACCCTCCGAAATAGAGATTACCTGTGGAAGATGGCTGTTCCAGAACCAGTCTGGGAACGTCAGTAAAATCAAAACTGCAGTGGACAGTTCAGAACATGTTAGGTCCCTTTCAGCATAAGTCCTTGCAAAAAAATAAAAATAAAAAAAAAGTAGTCAGATCTTGAGTAGAGGAGTTTTACTCCTGAATTGGACCTGAGAGGAAGTTTTACTCACGAACAGACCTGTTGGACACTGGCTGAGGTCACATACGCCACAGGTAAGAAATGCTGGGAAGTCCTCCCTGCCTACCGCACAGGAGGAGGCTGCAGGGTAACTGCGGTGCGGGTAGGAGGAGGCATCCTGCCTCAGGTCAGGCTTTGCTGCTGGCACTTGGAGATGACCTGAGCGAGCAGGGGACAGTGAGGAAATCTGACAAGTCCTAGCTGAGGCAGAAAGAGGGGGACCTGTAGCAAGGACGACTCTGAACCACTCCCTGGCCACACCACATCTCCTTTCGTACAGCCAGAGAAGGAACACCACAAAGTGGGAGAGGAAGGTAGCTGTCTGATCCCAAGCAGGAGGCTGCACCTCAAGCCAATGGAAAACAAAGGCACAACAGGCATGAATTCAGGAAAATAAGCAGAAAAGAAACCAGCAACAATGGAGAGAGCAAAGTGCTTCCGGACAGCTGTGTGCGTTTCCTGGTGCTTTTTAGGGCTGCAAGTCACTGTGACAAAACTAGGAACTGTTCATCAATTGCTTTGTTATTTCCAGCATGCAAGGCCTTTAGCAGCCAAAGTTTAGGCTGGCAGCATCCTCTCATGCTATGCGCGGAGCATAACAGCTCTTAGGGAAGTGCTGGATGCAGGTACAGTTGGGAGATGGTGAAGAAAGAAGAGCAGAAGTTTGGCAGCCAGCAGTGCTCCTGCCACACAAGAAAGCCAACAGCCTTGCTGCTCCGCAGAGAATACTGCCCTCCACACAGCAGGGAACTGTCATACAATGAAAGATTTCCCTCCTAAAACACTTCTCAGTTCTACCAACAGTTTATGAATTAGAAGAGTTTCAGTTTTGGGCTCACACACCTAATCCCCACCCACCCTGGCAGTGAAGGCCCTGCTCTGAACTGGAATATAAAACCCTGAAGCAAACCAAGCTCAGGCTGACCCCTGCCATCCAACCTGTCACATCTCACTGTTCCCTTCACTCCCTCTTCCCGTATCTGCAGAGAAAGAGCAGTGCTTGCCTCCCAGCAGGATGCGCTCTGCCTGTGACATAGCCTCCTCCACTGCAGGAGCACCATGAGGGGGAGCTTTGGCACAAGAGATGCAGTTCTTCCCTAAATCCAGTTCTGCAGTTCAGTACTGAACGGGCCCTGAGAAAGATGTGCAACAAGCCTGATTCAGACAATGCTTTCCCAGTGCTTCAGAGGTGCATACTCCTTCAATTCAGAGCAGTGTGTGCAAAACAACTGCTGAATTTCCAACCCTCCCTTTTGTCAAGCAGGTAAGGAGGCACCTGTACACTGCAGACAGGGAAGCTGATGTTTCACCTGCTAAGAAACATGTCCCTGTGAAATCTTTGTTTTTACACTGAGCTTTCAGGTTCAGTGTGTTAATTATTCTACCATTTTCCTTTCACTTCCTGGTATTTCTGTAACTCATTACTTCTGCTACAGAACTACCAAGGAAGCATTCAGACAATAAATATTTACTCACCCTATGCTTTTCCAATGAGAAAGAGGATTGCAGAGATTGTCTTTAGACTTCCTAAAGTGAAGAGGAGTTCTGAGAGTCTGTTGGCAGCAGCATAATTAAAAAACAGCTCAGCAAAAATCCAGCTTTGGTGGGGTAAGTTTAAACAGGACAGAGGATAACAAACAAGTGACAGCATAGAAGGATTGTCAGCAAAAGGCATCTCAGACTTCAATTGTCTGAGCAGAAAGAAGTGTAATGCTACAGAAGGGAGGAAAGCTGAAAGAGCTATTAAGCAAAAAGCAAAGCTGCTAGGTTTGTTGAGGACCAGAGGCTGTTTTAAATGTCTGCCAGTATTTGCATTACATTTGGAGACTTTCTGAAGGTCTTTGAAAACTTTTCAAGTATTTAAATGTAAACCACTTCATTGGCAAATTACCAGCCTGTGTGGCTTAACATGGCTGCAACTACTGCCTGCAGAAGGTCATCCCTTTAAAAAACAACAAAAAGAAAGAAAGAAAAAGGAGATCAAATACTACTGCTACCCTTGCTGCAAAGCAAGAACAGCTGCTGCAGCCACAATGTCCTCTTACTGCTGAGGGAAGAGAATATTCCAGCAGTGGGTGTGCATAAGCACAGCGTGAACACAGCACCAAGCAGAGCTCCAGGCTAGCCAGCCCCTGGGTTCTGAGTCAACACAGAAGTGCTTCTGCTGAGCGTGGAAATGCAACAGGGTAGGCTAGAATGCCCTCCAGTGTCCCAGGCCTCGTGAGAGCTGGATGTGGTCAGCACTGAAAGTATACACAGTACTTGCATGTGCAAATGGCATCCAGCAGAAACAAGCAGGAGCTTGTAGCTCAGTAGATAAAAGACACCCCCACAAATTTCATTACACTTAGAAATCCGTTTCTTCAGACTGTAAGATCTGTAGAAGAGCCCAGGCACTGTTTGCATAGTCAGGGTAACACGCATCCAGTTTTGCTACCAGACCTGACAAGTATCCTAGGAAAGCGGCAAGTATCAGGGTGCCAATATGATGAAAGGACAGAACGTGCATTTGGGGCCGGCTGAGACTGAAGCTCCTCTTCCCTGTCTTCCTTGCAAGGATATAGCTATGAAAGCAAAGTTCTAAATACAGCAACACATGCGTTTCAGCAACAATGAATATCAGTTAAGTGCATGAAGAATATATTACAAGAGGACATTTTTACAACTCAACAGGAGGCTCTGAAGCATGTAGAGATCTCATCACTCAGTCTGAAAACAGGGTGCAGCAAGGATTAAAATGAATTTAAAACTGGGAAGCAGTATTAATCAAAACCATGGAGAAGCTCCAGAGAACATTAAGACTGAGACCACTGAATCCAGAGCAGCAACAAATCAAAAAGATACCTGACAACAAAACAAAATCATCCAAGCTATTTAAGGGAAGATTTTAAAAACCCTCCTAATTAGGCCCAGATTACAAACACCAAAACTGAGCAGAGGGCAACCTTAACTAGGAGTACCTTAAAAAGTACCAAAAAAAAATACCTAAAAAATAATGCCATGTTCATTCAGTTTGCCGGGCTTCATACACATCAGCCCTGTTCTCTTTCCTCTGATGGAGACCAGGTACAGAGTAACAAAGGACTCCTGCAGCAGGAAAAGCTCCAAGGAGCATGTGCACCAAACACACTTGGTGCTTCTCCTTTCTCATGTGCCCTTGTTCACTGGCAGCAGCAACTACTTCCCACTTAAATCTTACTGCTGCTTGGGATCTGCTGCTGCTATTGCAATTTACCTAACAAGATCATAAAAGCGCATAAATGGGAACCTTTGGGTTTGAATACCTGTGCTCACAACTAGCTTTGGCAGCTCAGTCCACGGTAGATAGCAATGTGTGTCATACAACTGCAGTTTAATTTGGATAAAGTTCTTAAAATTGCAGAAATTATGAACAAACACTGAAAAGAGTGACCAGAAACAAGGTAAGCAAAGCTGGAGATACCACATCTGCATCTAACAACCCTCTTGGTGTTGAGAATGCTTTGACCTTCCTACATAGCCTCATCTGCCACAGAAGGCAGCAGCCTTCTCAAGTGCATCAAGAATCCTGGGAAGACACACAGCATCTGGAATCCCATTCCCCTGTGTTTTGGGTCATCACGAGATCACTGGGGATAGCTTTTTAAGTGGTGCTGCCAAGGATGTGGACTAAGACACCACTGACACCATCATCCCGAGACGGTGTAACCACAATGACAGGTAAGGTAGTTCCTGGTTCGGTAACAGGAATGGAGAAGAGGAAAGGTTAGAGAGACAGCTTCAGGAGAAAATGCTCGTACCAAATGGAGAGGGAAGCTCCACAGAGAAGGAGAGGGGATAATGCTAGGTTTCGGGGAAGGGCTGTCCTTTTGTTTAGCGCTTGTGCATATTAACACAGCAGAATCCTGCCTATGTTGGCACCACTGCAATTAAAACAATAATAAAAGCAATTATTGTTGATGCAGAAGAGCCTCCAAAAAATGCAGCCAGCCAGCATTACATGCTAAGGGCTTGGTTATCAAAGCTTCCTAGAATATTATCAGAAATTTTCTTCCACATTGGACACACCCAAAAGGGTTGGAGGGCAGCCTGTAGACATGAAAACCAGACAGCAGTACCAAACCCTTCACAACCTGTGAGCAAATTCAGGGCAGGGTCAGAGGCTGTTCTCTAAGTTGTTGGACAGAGTTCAGACAGACACCCAGCTAACAGCCCTCCTTGTTGCCCCCAAGTGTTTCAAGGCCTTGAGATCACATTCCACTACTGTCTGCTGAGAAGATCAGGAACAAACATGCCAAGTCCTATTCTCATGCAGACAGCTGAAATCTGCTGCACCAGGGGATGGTGGAAAGATTGTGCGAGGCTCTTTGGCAAAGCTGCATTGTTGTATATTGTTTCACTTACTATGCTTTGATTTTAAGGTGCACAAAACCCTCTCTCTGCTTTCCAGGAACCTGGTGGCCTTAGCTCCACTCCTCTGCCAATAAACCTCAGGGGATTTAAGGATGTGCTATCGAAATGGGTGAACTATTGTCTGTTTTACTGAGGTTCAGCGTGTCTGTCAGGCACTACAAGCTGCTCTTCCAGCACTGCCTCCTCACGGGGTGGAACATCCCACCGAAATATCAGTGAAGCATACAAACATTAAAAGGCACAAAGCTTAAGAGCAGGAACCAGAAGCTGAGAGATCAAGAAATCTGAAGAAGCTTCTTGTTTCCCAAGAGAGCTACACATCAGAGTGGAGGGAGGGCAGAGAAAGCAAGCAGTAGTATGCAGTAGGAATGAAGGAGGTAGCTACAGGTTTAGCAGGCATTTGTACCTTTCCAGATATACTTTGTCAGGATGGAATAGGAGACCAGCCTGTCCAAACAATCCTACAGCATAGGAGGGAGAAGAATGAAGACAATCAGTCATTTAAAGCAGAAATAATGCAAAGAACATGGAACTACTTAGCAAGGGTTTTTTGTGAGGACTGGTAACAGATCTGTTTGTCAATAGAGTAATGGAAAACAGGAATCACCCCCAATGCAAAGCAAGTAGAACTTTAACTTTGAGGTCTCTCTTGTACCTTTACTGCCTTGGTAAATGGCAAGGCCAGGTCACAAGCATTAGGCATTTCCAGGCTTTTCAAAAGAAGCCTAAAAATCACAGAGCACAAAACAGAAAAATCCAGCATACCAAGCTGTTTCCTACTACAGCTGGTCAGGACAAGGTCACCCCATTCCCCCAAGATGCAGTTCCAATGGCACAGAGAAGGAAACATTCACACAATGATTGTGTTTTCCAGGACATAAGGGAGGTACCCAGGTCAGAAGTGACTTTCTAGTGCAATATTGCGACCCATCGCAATGGGTCGCTATTGAAACAACTTTTTCTTAAGAGGGAGGTTATCAACCTTCCTCACCTTGAGTCATCTCCCCACCATCCTCGGGTAGGGCACCAGTAGTTCCACCTAGTCTCAGAGAGACTTCTCCTAATACCTCACTGCCAGGGACAGAGATGATTCTTTCATCAATGTTTGTAAAGTGCTTTGCAGATATAATGCTCTGCCGAAGTGCTAAGTGTTATTACTCCCCACCTTCTGCCAAAAATTAAAGGCAGAAGAGAAGATTGAATCCTTTTCCCCACTGTACGTGCATGTCAGCAGTCTGCATTGGGAGCTGAGCTAGCCTGCTAGCCTCAGTCTCCCCATGCTTTAGCTCCCTTTCCCCTCAAAACTACCCAGTTCATTGTACGTATTCCTGGACACCACCTTTTTAATGCTTCTAGGCTATCTGCAGCAGTTCAGCCTTACCCTGTTGTCTGCAATAGTGGATGACCTGATGGCACTTACACAGCTGCTCTGTGTGAGCTCTTGAACTATACAACCTCTCAGCAAAGGAAACACTGCTCTGTTCTGAAGGACCTACAAAACAAAAAGTAACTTCTTGCTGCTCAGAATGAAATGTATTTTCTTTTACAAATTACATTGAATTCAGAGGGACTTCTTCCCTCCAATTCAAGACTGTATAGAAGAGGTCCCCTTTGGAACCCAAAGCACAGGGACGATATTTTACTGCCCGTTTAACAAAGTCCCTGCAGTTCTAGAGGCCCTGTAATTTCTAAGGAGCAGGGGATACAGTATCCCACATTAAATGGAGTGGGAGATCAGCACTTGGACAAAGTCCAGTTCGTTTCTGTGCACCTGAAGTCATTTACATCAATGCACACTGGCTCTAAAGGGCTCCTGTTCTGATGTGCTGGTATTTGATACCACTCGTGCCTGGTTTGTGTGGCACCCAGGCCAGCAAAGCCCTGATCCACCACTGGGGCTTCCAGGGGCCACGCAGCAAACTGCAGCCAGAGGCTGAGGGATACCAGGAGCCCAGGGGGTTGTCATGAACCAAGCTCCTGGGAAGCACAGCATCCTCCCACAATGGAAACACCACAGCTGAAGAGGGGGAAGTAACATCCCTAGCATTATAGGGATGTTAAGAGAGGATTTTCTCTTCCACTGAGGGAGGACAGAGCTCCAGTGAGACTGACTGGTAGCTCCGCTGAGCTTTGATATGAAGGTGTTTCGTCAGTTAAAGGATTTCACCAGGTCACAGTATGTTTAGCTTTCTAGATAGGTAGTTTCTTTCACGCTTCCACCATCAAAAATTCACTGCTTAGATAGCTCTAGCAGGCTCCTCTGTGCACCGAGGCTCTGCACAGCAGTGCTCAGGCAGTTTTGCTAATGACTTGGTCCAGCTTTGTAACACGTTGTGCAACAGGGAGGTGGACAAGGGACGCACAGCTTCCCCCAGACTCTGATCCTAGGGGTTCTCCCAACACCCTACTCCACTTCAAAAGCAGGGGACTCGCAGTCATACTTGTGCACCCTCTCTCCCCCTCAGTCGCCAGAGGGAATGGCACAGGAAGGACAGAATGAACATGCTTCTTGCCTAGAGAAAGCCTCCCTGTTTGCTTAATAAATACCTTCCATAAAGCTTAGCAGCTCTGTAAACATACAAGAAATTTCAATACTTAGTAAAAGTTCATCTTTTCCCTGAACTCCCAATGAGAGAGGCTGGCACTGATCTGTGATTACTGCATACGGGCGGTGTGAAGACCCAGCGGGGTCCAGGAGAGGCTCCCAGGCTCCGCGGGGAGCTAGCAAATAATGCTGGGTGCTGACAAGCCTTTTTAAATATTTTTAAGTTGATCCATCCATGAAGCTCCGAGATGAGAATCCTGTCAGTCCTGTAGGAACGTCGCCAGCTCAGAGCAGTCCAGGGAACTGAGAAGTGATGATGATGGCATCCAGGAGGACTCTTTCCAGCAAAGGAGGGACATGGCAGAGGGCTTTTGGCTCTTCAGAACAATTTCCTTTCCTCTCAGGAGCAGCCTGGTGGTCATTGAACACAGAAGTACTCAGGGGAGAGAAAACAGTGCCAGAATGATTCTTGCTGTGCCTGGCCAGGGAAAGGGAGGCTGCATTTGGGGAGAATACAGCCCCAATGGCTTTAAAACAAGAGTGTGTCCTAGGAAAGCAATCCCCGTGGAAGTGTGACGAATTGGATCTTGGGCCAGATCCGACATGGTAGTGCAACAGGGCCCAAAGTCTCAATCCGCTCATTTCCAAAACTACTGAAACGGTACCAAGGGGGTGATCTGGCCTGGCCCCCTTGCTTCTGTCTATCTAATCCTCAAGCTTCAGAGAAGCTTTACCCCAGAGGACTCCCTGAAGCAGAGCATCTCGCTCCCAAACTCAGCAGGTGCCCTTGGGCAAGGAATCTGCCTCTTCTATGAAACGAGACAGGCTGAGGTAGGGAACTTGCATCTACCTTTACTGACTCAGACCCTCTCAGTGTAGCAGGCCTCGTGAGGCAATGCTCCTTGTCCCAGCTATACGCATGGGACTCGAGCACAATCCATCCTCCAGATAGTGTGCCACCACCGTGTCACCCCAGAAGGAATGTTTCCAGCTGTCTCCACCGATCTGAACTGCCTGATGACCACCTCCTCCAAGTATTATCCCAGCACGCAGCCTACGGGATCAGCTCTCAGAGCCGCACCCCTTTGCCCTGCACTAAAGGGCAGAAATCATGAGGTCCTCCTGCTTGGCAGGGCTGGTTACATGCCCAGTGGGGGTGGAAGTCCGGATTTTGTCAGTGGCCAGGCACTCCTGGCTGCTCACGCCTGTGGGAGTGATGTCCATGAGTTCTCCAGATGAACTAAGGGGGAAAGAGGGTGAGACAGAGATGCCCGACGAAGGATCTGTTGAGCCTGCAAACAACCTTGGGGGCTTTGGGACTAGGTTGGGTTCATATTGCGCCCTCAACAGGATCTCCTGATCACTGACAGACTTGGGCATCTCTGCAAAGTCACTGGAGCTGTCAGACACCATCATGCAGTAGATGTCCTGGAAGGAGCTGCTTTTGCTATCCAAATTGAAGAGGCTGTCTATGAACTCAGCAAACTCCAGCACTTGGGGACTGGGAACATCAGTGAGCCGTCCGTTCTGGAGGGACAGCTCCTCACGAGGGGCTAAGGAAACACGGTCCCCCTCACTGCTGGCCCCCTCCTCACTGCAGCGTCGCTGGGGGGTAGTGCCACCACTGTTGAGTGCATTCTCGGGGGGCTGAGTCTCCTGGGAGTGCTTGGAGAGGCTATCAGCAGCCAGCAGCTCTGTCCGCGAGCTGAGGGAGGGGTTCTCCTCAGGGATAGCAGGGTCTATATAAAAGCAATGCGTCTCGTCCTTCTCCATGACAGCATGGAGGCTGGGAGAGCCCCGTATGCTACGGAAACCAGAGGAACGCCTTGAATCAAAGCTGTAGATGGATTCATTGTCAGAGAGGCTCTCCATGGTTGCAAGAGGAGCACGTCGGTCCTGTAGCTCCACAGACAGACGTTCCTTTGTATCCAGGAGCAGCAGCTCCACGGGGTCTTTCTGCACAGGAGAAAGTGGCTTTGTCTCATAAAACCCCTCCAAGCTAATTTCAGAATGGGACTTGCTCCTGCAATGAGAAACAGAGACAACATGAGACTGCATTACTCCTCAGAACCAAAAGCTGCCAGAACAGCCAGAGGAACCAAGCCTGGGGCACAGACTGCAGGGCACAATTCTTACAGAGGGAAAAGCAAGCAGGAATGCTTATGGCAATAAATTACAAGAATACACACAAAACTGTTTAACACTTTACAAAATTATAAAAGGTATAAATGCCTCTTAAGATGGCCTCCTGTTTCTACCATGATTCCTATTTGCTCTCCAACCACAAACCATCTTAGAATCATAGGATGGTTTGGGTTGGAAAGGACCTTAAAGATCATCTAGTTCCAGCCCCACCACCATGGGCAGGGTCACCTTCCACTAGACAAGGTTACTTCGTTCTCAGTTTCTCGCTTCCCTGTTTCGTCTGCATGGTGCAACTCCTTCCCCTGCAAGCTTCGTCTTTGTGGTTCCATGGAAAATCCCACTTGCCTTGATAAGAAAAGGAAGTTTCCGTACCTTCAACTTCTAGGTTCCCCTGACCTTTCTGCACTAGCAGATTCTTAAGCAACACAAAGGATCCTTTTTCACCTAGCACAACACAAGACATACTGAAGCAAAGTGAAAGTCCCATACAGGCAGCCCTTGGATCTATTCTTCCCACTAACATCGATCACAATGGACCCACAGGAGAGCCAACGATCCTACAAAGAACGCAAAGATGTAGTCTTACTTTGTACTGCTGTTCCTTCTGTCCACTGTTATGGCTCCAGTTCCAATCTGCACTGAGGGTCCACTAGGCAAGGGCTGACTCTGGAAGATCAACTCTGGGGTGAGATCCACTTCTGTAGGACTCACCATCACTTTGGCAGCGGAAAGTAAAGCTGTTTTCCCCTTATTGTAATTCTCCAAGACCTATAACAAGGCAAGCAAAGGAACAATAGTGCTTCACTGGAGATAACTTCGCTGTTCTTAGCTCAAAACTTCCAAACTGCTGGATCTGCCATTGGTTCTTACTGAGGTGTTCCACAAGCACAGAGCAAAGTCTTGACATAAATGATTATATCAGTGAATTTTGACGTACTCTATCCTGTCAGGATGCCCTGCTGGGAATCCAGTGCTGGGGAGATGCCCAGAGATGCTGGCAGAAGCAGCTTTCAAACCAATACAGTAGAGAAGATTTGGCTAACTCTCTATGGCAGAGCTGCATGGCTACGAACTGTAGTTTAGGAGCAGAGACTCATTCCACAACCATTACACATAAGCATAAGCTCAGCCACCCTGCAGACTAACAGAGCAGCTGCAACAGTAGCGTGGAGGACTTCTGAAATACCCCATGCAGCTGCATGCACAGACATCCAGTGCTGCCAGAGCTCACTAAATTTCACTTGAACTGCATGCTGTAACAGGCAGCTTTGAGAGAGTGAACCGAACACCACCCAACCTCATATTATTATGGCATTAAAATTGGAAATAGGACTTAGTTTGGGACTCTGGGCATTGGGACTGAAATCTACATTCAATTTCCAGACCTCATCACATTTGACTCAAATAGCTTGCACATAACTGGCCCAGAGTACAGTCTTCTTTTCTCTTCCCCCACAAAGGGAAAGGTATTGTGTATTTAAACAGCCTGCTCTCCTGGGTGAGGACTACCTGAAGGCCTGTGATAAGGCACTGGTGTTATTAGGGCATTTTAAGTGCTCTTGCATTACGAATGAATAAGCTCAAACCCCACTAAAGGGATTCCTGGCTCTCCAGCACACACACAGAACTTTGGCTCTGTGGACATTTCGTGTCTACAGCTCACCTCAACAGCATCATCATGCCAAGCCTTTCCTGCCCAAACCCAGGCCTTCCACACATTCAAGCCAAAGTCCACGCTATTGAACTGAGTGACCCCTCCCCGCCCCCTGATCCCAATTTTCAGCATTACCTTGTTGAGCCCTTCCATGACCACGTATGGGAGGTGTTCGTGCAACATCGCTGGTGAGATGATGACTTCATTAAACGCCTTATTGTCACCCCAGATAGCAAAGTAAGTGGGATCCTCTTGCTCGCAGCAACTAAAAGAGGAGTTGGGATCCAGAGGAGAAAATGGGGAGCAGGGGATGAAAGAGCAGGCCAATGTTTTGGCATGCAAAAGCATGAAACAGAAGGTTACAGAGACAGAAAAAACAACAGGAGGAAAAATAGAGGGAGGAAATATTAAATACACATGCTACTGCCGTTGCTCTAAAGCACTGCACTAACAAACAGCAACACAAGTGTCTTTCTATCCTCACAGCACGGACACAATCACTGTCACCGTAAGGCAGTGAAAGTCACCTCCTTCATGGATGGATTGCTCTCTTGGGAAGTCTTTTTCCAACAGAAGTTTTTCAACCCCCCATCCATAGGCTGACTTTACGGCTCTGCATATACTCACCAGCACTGCTCTGCAGGATGATTGTGCACCACGTGGATGATGCGGCCAGGCGGGTAGAGCGGTGTGCTTGCAGACAGAGCAATAGTCAGATCACTGGGATGGGTCCAGAGGCGATTACTTGTTACTGAATTTTCTTCTGTCTCTTCAGGGAGCTCTGACTTGGGTATGCACTTGGTAGCACCCACAATGATTCGCCACTGTCCAGCACAAAGGAAAGGAAGGAGAATATGGAGAAGAGAAAATGATCAGAGAAAGAGCCATCTCACGAGACACTATAGGTAGTTTTATTTAAACTGAATACCTAATATCAGAAAAGAGAAAAACAGAGCTCATGCACCTGTTGCTTGAATAGTAAACCTAGAGAGAGATAACACCCTTGCTCAGAAGAATTACTTCTCTCTCCCTTCCTTTCACAATTTTAACCTTAAAAGTGGCAAAATCTTGTCCATCTTCTTTTTGCTGGATGTTTTTGTAGAGTTAGGGATCTAGAGCAAACATATTTGTCCACCAATGGATAGCTTATCTTCCAGGATAAACAAGGTAGACAGAAACTGAATATTTAATGTACCAAAAGAAGCAAGACTACAACTTATGCAGACAAAAATTCCCTTAATGTCTTTATGCATAAAAAGAAATCCTAAAATCTGAAAAAATACCAAAACCCACAGAATTCTATCAAGAATAGCATTAGCTCAGTTGTTTGTTTTTACCCTCAATTGATCATTTATATAATATTTTACCCCTAAGAATCTTCAAGTCTTATGCTTTTCCCATCTCAATGTAATAGTAAAGAAGACAAGGAAAGAACAAATTTACACATTTCTTATCTCCAAAACATTAACAGGCCACTTGTCCTAGAAGGGCACCATCCAGAGAGCACACAGCAATGCCTAGAAGCAGACAACTGTTGCACTTCCCAGCCTGTTACCATTTGTTGTTGGCCCCGAAAAGCTAGGCTTGGAACAGAGACTTCAAAACAGGCCAAGATTAGAAAGCTTCCTGCTCTGTTGTTTTAGACATGTAACAGTGAAGTTACAGCACATGAGCCAGAATTATCACAGAGCTACAACTCAGCCTGCAGAGTGTAGCTTCTAACCCAGACCTCTCTAGGCGTCTTCTTGCTGTTGCCATCACTCCTCTGGTTATTTGACACAGAGCTATCATCACCACTGCTCAGATGCTTGCCTTCATAAGTCTTTTAATCTTCATTCTTACCTTTGGTTTGTTACTCCTCTGAAGAACATCCAGAAGCTGACGGCGAAACCCTTCCAGCTGAGAGAGACCAATTCTGGAAAAGAGGAAGCTGTGGTTACAACAGCTGGGCAAGGAACAGCAGGCAGGTAACAGGATAGTAGAGACACACAGCACAGAAGAATTAGAAGTTATGCTACAAAAGAAACAACAATGCCATAACGTAGATCACTCCAGAGGTGAGTTGAGGCATCACCCGGGACCAGTGAGCAGGATAGAAGGCCACAGAAACCACTCTGACCACAAACAAGTATGAAATGCAATAGCAGACTCAGAGTGGTGAACGCACATGAAAGGTCAATGATGAGATGAGGGAAATGAAGCAATCAGGGAAACAAGTGAGCAAGTAACAAATAAAAGATAGCACAGAGCTATACAACACCATTAAGCAGACTTCAGGATAGACAGGATTTTGTTATACAAGTTAACAAGAGGTATACTGAATACTGTAGTAGTTTTCCTCCACTGAACTCTACATGCCTAACATTGTACATAGAGAATTTACCTGAAGTCACACAACTGGGCTGAGGTAAAAATAAAACTCTGGTTGTTTGGCTCCTAGTTCAGTGCCCTGTTTACCCCCCTAGTTCAGGGGAATATGTCACAGCAACAAGAGGTGAGAAATGCCAAGACAAGAAATGAAGGAGATGACAAGAAATCAGCACATGTAGTTCAGGGCAGAGTAAAGAGGTCTGAGATAACACAGACAACCAGAAGGATGGCATTGACACATCAGACACCACCATGAGTATTATTACAGAGGCTGGCTATTCACCTTTTTCTATCATACAGGCAACTGATGCAGAGATGGGGAGGGATATGCCTATAACAAGGTGTGTGAAACACCAATATAGGCGTGCGGTAAAAGATGCAGCAGTACATGTAAACTAGGAAGACAAGTGAGAAGCATATAAGGATAGGTAAATGAGGACACAAGACAGGTATGATCTGGGTGTTTCTGAAAGGAAACAGGTGACTTTGGTAGAGAACAGCAGATATTTAATCAAGAAATTTGGACACTTCTCAACTTGCCTGGGCACTAGATCTTTGCCAAGCACGACTGCAGTCACAAACTCTTTTGAATACTCCATGGCATCCTCACTGGAAGAGAAACAGGACCAAGAAGAAGCAAACAGGGTTTCACTAGCAGCAAACTGCACTTCATTCCCAATTTGCCACTGGTACCTGAGAAGTTACTAGAAGTTACTAGACTACAGTGAACCTGGGTCATAAAACACACAACCCAAGCTGCTCGACGCCCTCAGAACTTGCACGCTTTTTAAAGACGAGCCTGATATTCACATCCCATGCCCCAAGCAACATTGCTCTGTAAGAGTATAGCTCAGATAGCACACCTCCTCCTTTCTTACCTGTGAACAGCTCTGCATATACTTAGAAACAGAAGTTTCTCTAACTCAACACCTCATAGTGGTTTTCCTGTGCTTTGGGAACAGCCAGGTGACCAGAGAGGAAGAAGATATTCCATGCTCTTGAGACTACTCTAAAAAGACACCATAGTAGAACTAAGACAGCCACTTCCTGCAGCAACCTGAGCACCAAGACAAAAGGGAATCAAGGCTTCCACTCCATGAGCTCATTCTGCAGTCAGCTACCTTCTAAAGACTTTTCTTCTGAATCAGTCACCAGGGGTAGAGGCCACCAGCACCACTGACCTAGAGATGATCCTGGGCACGATGCACAGTGCAACAGAAGTGTGGCAGTCAGAGGCACCTCCTTGAACTCAGACAGTTGAGGTGGCACAGTACTGTTTGGCCTGTGCTATCAAGGGAACTCAGGAGGGAAAGCTCTAAGCAGAAAGCTAAAAAAACTCTCAGGAAACATGCTGCAGAGCAATTCCTCTCTAGCTGCAGATGACTAGACATTATTGTCACAACAAGGCATGCTAATGTCCAGAATCATTAGCAGGATGGTTAAAATCCATTGGCTGCTGCTGGAACATGATGCAATAGCTACAAAAAGGAGGCTGTAATCTATAGGTCCTTCTAAGTGCACTCACGGTACCCATCATGACTGGAAAGACCTTATTTCACAAGTGGGATGTTATTTGGCTGCCATATAAATAACATGATCAGCAGGTCTGCTCCAGTTTACAGCAGGAGAAACTCACAATACGTCTCTTCAGACATCTGAGGCAGCTACCCTAGATTCCCCCTACAACCAAAGGAGAGAAACAGGCAACAAAGCAGCACAACCTCTCTGACCTATTTTAGACACCCACTTTAGAATGACAGAAATCACACTCTGGAAGTGCCAATTTCTTTGTCAGTTGCAAAAGGAGCCCAAACTGATCTGATGTTTGACCAAATGTAAACGCCTCCATCTCCCATTCTGCACACCTTTTCACAGAGGATGGGGAGAGGACACATTGTCACTGTGCAAACAATAAGCAAGGAAAATGCACTCTGTCTACTCAACTTGTGTTTCCTCCTAGTCAGGGTTAAATAAGAGCTATAGAAGTAAACAAAGCTGCATATTTGGGAGTGGTCACCTGTGATCATATCCTAAATTCTAAACTACAGCATAGAACAAGGGCTGCAAACAACTCTCAGGTCCTATAAATTGACACTACATTTTTCTACGTGCTTCTCAGGGCAGAGACTTTCTTTTATTGCTCATCAGAACATCACAACCAGGATCTTTCCAGCTACAGCTACACCCCCCCACCCTGTCACCAGACCTCCTGACCCAACACCTACCTCAGCAGCCCACCTGGGGGAGAATAGGCAAAGCACTTCAGTGACGGGTACTGCGGACGTAAAAGGAAGGACAGGATGGCAGCTGTGCCAGCCCCTAGGGAATGGCCAACCACAATCAGGCCATAGTGTTTTGTTCCTCTCCCCTGAAAATGAAAAACAAAAGAAGAAATTGGAGTCAGACCAAAAAGAAACTTGACAAACCTCCAAATCTGTTCCCTTCCCCAGCTTCTGAGTCTTTGCTATATGTGAGCACTCCACATTCCAGCTAAACAATTCCTCCTTCAATGGGAACTAGTTATATTTTGAAACAGGAACACAGTTTTGATTTACAGTGGTTCATCTATGTCACACAGGAGCTGGGCACAGGGCACATTCCTGTCTTCCAGTAGCACTTGTTCTGAGGGGACACAGGAATTCATTCTCTCCTACACTTCCATGAGTCAGCATTTGATCTACTGGGTCTTCCCTGAAAAAAAAAAAAAGGAATGTACACTCAAGTTGTTTGAGTTACTTGGAATCTGATGAGTTTTGTTCCTCCTCAGATCTGATAACCATCTGAAAATATTTGAGCCCAGACTCACAGATTAGAGGTCTGCTTGGTTCTAGGAATTATGACTTGCTCTCATTAATTTCACCGATTGTGAATGCTGAAAAACAGAAATCCTAACCCGCAGTTGGAACAGCAGTCTTTTGAAGTTCAGATATTCCCAACAGCTGCCAATTGTACAAGTAATTCAAAGACAAAACTATTCTCTAAAATTTTCTGCTGTTCTTGTTATTCAGAGGCGAGAGCACTAGGCATGGCTTAGACTCTAGAAGTTCATTAAGACAGTGTTTGAGAAACTTTGATCTTGTTTTAATGCCAGATGTCAGAGCTCTGGCCATGCCTTGTAGGCTTTACACAAGGACAGAGAACCCAAATCCTACTCTCCATAGTATCTGGTCACCACAGCTGTGATTATAGATTTCTGCATAAGGTGAAAAAAAGAACACAAAGCCACAGGAAAGAAAGCTCCTTGTATCATTTTACTTCCAGACCACTTTTAAGTCAACATGCCTCCTACAGTCAGTGAGGTTGAGGTGAATACTGGGAGAGAATGAAGCCTTTATACATTTCACTTGTTACAGTATTTTCCTGAACATCTGTTGCTGGCAACTGTCAGAAACAATTTACTGGGGTAGACAAACATTTGGGACCTGGGACAGATGGCATTTATGTTCCACCCATACCACTTCATATATTCTTCAAAGTTAACTTCAGACTACTTCATTTCCTAACCTAAGCCAGTAGTTCCATCTCATTAATCAAGTTCTCTCTCTACCTTTGTGGGTCAGGTCCAGCTAATTACGCCCTATTACATCCATTAGAAATTGTACCCACCATGCATAAAGCCAGCTTCAAACAGAACCAGATGTGTTCCTTGTTATCACACACAGAAGGCAACCAAAATATAGAGCTTCAAATGCCACCATATCCTTACCAGTCAGATAGCAACCGAGCTCTATAGGAGAGCAAGAAAAAATCCTCACAAGCAACAGCTCACTTAAAACCAGTGAGTTTTCTGGGTATAGAGGAATAAAGCATGATAAAAGAAGTCAGATGTCTATGTATCTCTTCTTTCACCTACTGAACATCACAAGACAGATGCTTCTGCACTGACTTCGTGCAACACCAGTTCCAGGGAAGCATCAAGCCTTTTAACCCTCTTCTCCTTTTCTTTCTCCCTTGAGCTGTGGCTAATTTCCCATGGGCCTGCTCAGGCCAAGACATTATTTGGGCACGAGAAAAGGACAGCTGTCTGGCAGCAGGGAATCAGGCAGTTCAGAAGATCCCTCCCCAGCAGGGAGGGTGACTGTGCCTTTAGTGACACAGAAGCTAAGTAAGCTTGTTCGTAATGTCTCTCTCGGGTTTTCCTATAGCTTTCTATCACAAGAAATGTGCACACACAGACAGTCAGCATGGCATTCCACTGCTGTCTCCAAAGAGAATCTCCATAGAGATGGGATTTTAGTTCCTGTTGATTTGTTTTTAATCTTCCCTGTTACTGCATTGCCAATGAATGGGACTTCCTGCCTTAGCTTTGCCCGAGGAATAAAAAAAAAAAAATCTGGAGCTCTGCAGTACTGTTGGGTAGAAGGCTTCAAAATAAAAATAAGCTTTGTGGGAATAAGCAACTCATGGCCCATCTGGAAATCCAGAGGGACAGGAATTGGAAGGAAGATTTTAGAAGTCAGTACAACAGATTCAGGGACCTGGAGGTTGAAAATCAGCATTTTAGGGAAATCTCAATTTCTTTACAGCCTGCAGTGATTAAAAAAAAAAAAAAAAAAACTAATGCTAATGCTCACCAAGTCTCGTCCAAAAGCTTGAGAAAGCACCATTTCTTGCTCCAATTTCTTCTTGATGTACTCGGCGGATAGCACCATTCCCTGAGGGCAAACAAAAACAGAACAGGACATTAACAGCTGCAGATCAGCACTGATGTGAACACCTAGGAGGCACCAAACTGCCCTGAACACTGTACAATCTCTAGAGTGCCACACAGAACGTGCCAAGGCTGAGGAAGAATTCTGACTCCACTCCACGTTTAGGAAGACTCCGTTAGACACGTCTTGACTCGCTGATTACCAGAGCCACAGATTGTTTAGGAGTAATGACAGTTCTTAAGTTATGACAACCCTCACGGATCCTATTCCTAGGCTTGTGGTGTAAAGTCTGGAAAAAAAACACACACCATACCCTAACTTAAACACGAGGCTGTGTATCTGGTAGTTCAGCTCACACTGAGACCTGCAGTAGAGCAGGAGAACCAAACTTTGATTTTCTGCATGTCAGTATCTTAACAACAGAACTGTAATCTTCCATGGAAATCTGCAAATCAGAGCATGAGCTAGCCTAACAAGTTCACAGGGCAACAGCACAAACACCAAGACATAACTGGAGGGAAAAAGTGGCAGCTCTATGTGTGGAGGAAAGAGTTACTGATGACTGCAGGCAGCAGCAGCTATTAAGTGGATTCAGCTGTCAAAGGACATTAACTGCAAATTTTTAAAGGTTTTTATTTCCTAGAAGCTAAGAACTGCTGGAGGATGGGAAAAAAACTGATAGTCTGGTTCTAAACATCTACCCTCTCTCCCAGCTGATGGCTGCATTTAAAGAGTTTGTCTCCCTCTGCATAACAGAGATGCAGCTAAACACTGATATAAACAAATGGCTAGAATTTGGTCTGTTGCATAAATTCTTGGTTATGCCTTTATTGCAGTTTATATTCAGTGGTGAGCAAGCCTGAACTGCAAAGGCTAGAAACAGTGATGTAGTCCAGGGTGAACGCAGGTAAACAGAAATTGGCTACTTCTAATTCATTGATTACATATCTCAAGTAATTCACACTGCCTAGGCTGGCCAAAAACTAAGGAGGATCATCTCCTCTGCTATTTTCCATTACACTCCTACCTGAAAACTGTACAAAACAGTACAAAATGAATATTATTGAGCACCGTTTAATCTCAACGACACAAAAGAATTCACAGACCCCTCAAAAAGCAAAGAAATGTGGAATTGTCAAAGTCCTCGATATCAAACATACCATCAAACCCATCTGCCTATTGAAGAAAAAGAAGACAGGTGATTTTGCTGAGCCCAGAAATGGGACATCTGTAATGCTACTGTCATTATCAAAAAAAGCAGATGCCATGATATTTCATGCCTGTGTTCAGATCTCTCAGCAGCTAGCCAGCTTCAGCTGCATTCAGAAGAGTCTCCATTTCCAACTCTAATGAGAAGTGAATGGCAGGCTACTTATATAAATTTCTAACATGAATTTAGGATCCTATTTTTGAAAAGCATGACCTAAATCTGCGGTGATATCACTAATGAGTGGTTAGTCAGCCTTATATCTTTTTTTTTTTTTTTATAATTACAGCATATTTTAACATAGACAGCGATTTTAACATTATGGAATTAGACTTACCAAAGTTGCATTTAAGCTTTCTGTTAAAGAGGACATTGTTTCACAAGTTTCAATGGAATAAAACTACCTGGGTTTAATTTTAAATGTGTAAATAACCAAACAGCCTGGAGATCTAGGAAAAGTAGGAAACATTCTGTATTCCTTCACCAATTGACACCACAAAACTTCTATGCAATATTTGAATTGTGTGTGTGAAAACCCACAAAAGAGGGCATTTATGTGGTAGAAAAGAGCTTGAAAGTTATTGCTATTACTGATTGTTCTATCAAACTGGTGAGGACTGCTATCACGGCTGAGCTTTCAGGGTTTCGTTTTTAGCAGCTACTCGCTGTCATCCTGGCTGGCTCAACAGCATGAGACAAACCTCCTTAACGTCATCAATTCAGCAGCTTTGATCTATACAGGTTCAACAGAACTAACCATGGATTCATGCCCCTCACTTGTGATTATTTTTAAATGATCTTTGTTATAAAATTCAATGGATTTTATCTCAAATGGCAAAGTTAGATCTTTTTGTTGTTAATTTCCTCTTTAAGTTGCAATAATCCCCTACTTATATTCTTTTTTGGCACACCAACCCATAAACCTTAGTTACAGCTATGTTCTTTCTGACCCAAAATAGCTCAGAGACCTAACAAATGTTAACTGTGGCATTCACAGCAACCCAAACAATCAAACACTTTCAGCTGTGGTACCAGTGGAGTGATAAGAAGGCTCATGTAAACATCAAGAGTTTTAATTTGTAAGATGTCTGATTGACACTGCGTGAAGCAGCTTGACAGGCTGGCTCCCAGCCGGCTGGGTGTGCAGGACAGAATCAGCAAGAAAAATAACAGAAGCCAAACAACTTACAGGAAGCTCCCAAATGGTCCAATACTTTTCTTCAAATTAAATGTGTTAGCAAGATACGTCACCTACTTTTATATTAAAGTTGACTTCTGGACATTAAAAATGCATCAAGACAGGCATTTTTAAATTCTGTTATTTCCATTAGTTTCCCTCAGGAATCAACAGTACATTATTGTCTGAAGATTAATATTGATAATAATTTGAGATAAAGCTGTATTTCTGTATGAGTAACAATAGAAAAAGAAATAATACAAACGCCAAATAAAAAATCAATATACAACACAGGAAATGATCTGATGTTTCATATAAGTTATGGGCAGATGAATATTGTTGTACAAAAGAGATCAAAAGGAAAAACTAACTTCTGCAGGTATTACTAGTTTTTCTGCACATATAAAACAGAACAAATTTCCCTTTCTTTCCTTCGGTTTCCTTTTTTTTTTTTTTTGAAACTTATGAACTGCTTATCACAATGATTATGTGAAGCCCTTTTGAACTAAATGAATGAGTATAAAACCAAGTAACATTATCTTCAACAGCAGACATAACACTTCAGAAACGTTAAATGAGTAGTAAAGGCTCGGATATCTAAATATCAATTATGTGACAAAATGCTTCCTCATGTATCTCTGTTTCTATATGGTGTCCTGTGTAATCACTATATTGATTCATTTTCTCATTTCGGGGGAAAAAAAAAAAGAAGCACTCATTGTCCAAAGAGGAGCTACAAAATATTGCTTCCAAGAACACACTTTCTGGGAGCGTGTCAGAAATTCCTTCAAGACCACAGAGTCCCAACAGCACTTTCTTGGGTATCTGGCTTCTTTATCAGGCCTGTATCTAAGCATCTGAGCATGCAGTTATCAGCTACTAATGCTCCACTTCCTAAAGCAAAGCATCAAAGCACAGAAGAGGTGATCTGGAAGGACACTGGGCATGAAGCAGGAGCTCACGGCTGCCAAAGAGCTGAGCTCAGTGTCCTGCCCTGAAGAGACCCTGACCAGATATCAGCGGCATCTTGTCTCCCTGAACAGCAGCATTTCCTAGCAGCCACTACATTCCTTCCAACACACACAACCTCCAGTTTGTATTTTCCTTCCCAGTCTGGCACGGCATCTTGAGAGGCTGCCAAATTCCTGATAATCTTAAAACTCAGCACGTGTGTCATTACTTTGCTGGACTGGGGCAAAGGTGAGTTCTGTACCAAATTGATTTAGTCAGCCCACTCCCGATCATTAACACAGACACACAGCGTCAGTCTAATTACACAGTAGCAAGTCCTGCCAATATCATTTTACGAGGTTCAATGACTATCCCATTGCAACAGAATTTTAAACATATTGTTGGGGTTTGATTGCAAATTTTGAAAAGGTCATTGGAAGAAAAAGTAATTTCAATGACACCAGTAATTTTGTTCTAGGTCTCCACGGATTCCTTTTGCAGCTTGGTTTTTACTAATTGCATGTTGCTTTTTTTGTGTTTTATTATTATTACAGATTGATTTTAACTGTTACAATTTAATGATTTATTTATTTTACATCTCATAGCCATTTCACTGCAGTTACATAACACCCTTAACACCTCAAGCAGCTTAATACTTTTTTTTTCCCTGTATTTTTTTTTTTTAACTAAAAACATCAAAATAAGAAGTGTTTTCTTACATACCTTGTGTCCCAGCCACGTCCCATGGTGACCCTCCACTGGAAGGCGCTCTGCGTCCCCAGTTAGGTCAGTCAAGGCATCCTGAAGAAAAGAAGTCACCGTGTTTCAAATAAGTCAAACAGCAAGGCAAAGTCAAGAAGGTCTCAGACTATCCTGAAAGTTTGCTAAGGCAGCCAGGGGTAGATGAGGTCTCACAGTGCACTTACTTTTGGAGACAGCGTTCCTCGGATGCTAATGACTACCTTCTTCTTATCATGGTCCACAGCCACATAGAAAGGAGTTTCATAAACCTGGAAAAGATCCACTGCTGTAGCACTCAGGTGAAACATTCCTGTTTACATATTCTCCTGCTCAGGAAAAAAGAGCAGCTTGACAGACCATCCCTTACAGGTGAGCACTCCTCTGAACGATCTGATTTGGGCAGTAAACAAATATTTCTGTCCAAGGGGCAGAGCTTCTTGGCAGAGAGACAGGAAAAAGTTCAAGTTCCCTTCTTTTGTACCACTACATCTGGAAGCATGTGAGCCCCATTAGGAGGGACCGTAGGAGCACGCCCCAGATATGAAGGGGGCAGCAGACTCCTTACCGCGTCATGGCAAGAAGTATAAACGATGTCCACCGAGGTCATGTTCTCATCCAAGAAGTGGCGCCGGATGGCAATGGCATTGCAGCCACAGCAATTATCCTCCTCAATGGTAACACTGGGTGCATAGCGGGGACGTGAGGGACAGAGACAGCAACATCTACAGAAGAAAAAAAAAAAGAGAGCTTTGAGGAAAGAGGAACATGGAAGAGACTGGCTTTTAGAGTGGAATGCCTAGAGATGAGGGAAAGGAAGGGGGACCCTGCAAGACACACTGGCCTCGTCTTGACAGCAATGGTTTCCTTCAGTTGTTGAAGCTCTTGCACAAAACAGCACACAACTCATGTTTCGGAATCAAAAAGGGGCACTGGGCTCAAATGCAGTTTACTTTCTGAGCACCAGAGAGAGCTACAGTGCAACCAGTCTCCAAGGAATCACTGCATGGTAGGGCTAGGATCTCTCCTTGGGGAATACTGTGCTTAATGGCACAATTCCTCTATTGCTTCAACACACAAGCAGATAGCATTTATTAGATGTGTATCTATTTACAATAAACAACAAACAGGTCTAGACTCATCCCAGAGCCACAACAGAAGCAGATTCTTTATTCCTTTCCTTTCCCTGAAAGATGCTTCACAGCTAAAAGTGAAAAGAAATTGCTTGCGTAAGTGCAAAAAGCTCAACCCCAAAGAGAATCTGATGGCAGCATTACAGCAGCTAAAAGCAAACATTTAAAACTATGCAATCCTGAACTGTACTACAGCACTGCTACTGTGAGGTGAGAACTGTATAGCATGGCAGAAAAAAAACAGAGAGAGCACAGCACAAACTCTGGCCAAGTCTTATTGATGCTTTAATAAAGACCTAAATGTCAACTCCCTGCATATCTGGGCTTGCCGATAAATCTGATTTCTGCACTCTACAACAGCTATTTTGACTCAGTGTGAAAGCAGTCTTGTGCCAGATGAGTTCTCTCCACTGGCTGTTCAAACTGCACAGGACTGGCGTGATCCTTAGTGCACCAGAGAGGATAGAGCATATGACAGTCTGGTTTATTTAACAAGGTAAGAAGATAAGCAACTGTAAGAAAGATACGAGAATGAAGGAAAAGAGGTAGAGACAGCATATGAAGTGAAAAAGGAATAAAAGGAGAAGAGCAAAGAAGAAGGAAGTAACTGAAGAATGAGGGAGAGAGCAAACTGATGAAAGAAATGAGTTTTAAATCAGGAAAAAAACAGAGGGGAAGAGGAAAGAAGAGAAGGCAGAGCGATAGACAAGACGGCCACTCACGAGCAGGATCTGGCCAGGCGACAGAGTCCACATGTGGGCTTCCTCATCAGGTAAATGGGCCAGCCATAGGCCGCCAGGGCAAACAGCATGTAGTAACACACCTCTTTGTATCGCTGCATCTCTTGCTGAAAGAGACAAGAGACTCACTAAAGGCCTTATTCTCTTAACACGTTGATTTGTTCCTGTTTCCCTTTTTCCATCTTAGTTAGACTACACCCTTCTTTCTGAAGATCAGCGTTCACTCTTACCACCACTAGAACAGCAAACACTGTCAGCACTTCCAGGTGGCTGCAGGAGAGTGCGCTGGTTATGCTCGAGCAAGATCCTCTCCCTCCCCTCCCAGTATAGCTACACCATTGTTGTGATCCGAGGGGGCCTGCTAGCTGCTTAACAAAGGCAGAAGTTAGTTCTATAGGCATTCTCCTCTATGTATCAAACACCCTGCTGCAAAGGAAGGTCATTCTCTGTGGGTTTTACCCCACCCAACCCTCTCTGAATGTAGGAGAAACTAATTTAAGTCTCAAAAAGATGAGCTCTCTAAATACACTGCTCCACATGGGCACAGGCCATAAGGAAGATGCCCAGAGAGGACCATAAAGACAGGGTGAGGCCACGTGCCCCAGTGCTGTCTTCTATAAGCCATGCTGATATTGCTCCCCGAGCACCCTATGCAGAAGGAGACAGGCTGAACACAAGCAGGATGTTAGCATTAAATGCAGCAGAGTACAGCATAGCCACAAGCAGGTTAATCACAGAATTGCTTGATCAGAGATACTGGGATTGGGTCAGTCTTGCATCTCTTGCAGCAGTATCGTCTAATCAAGGAGTGTGAATATAGCCCAGATGAAGGGCTGCAACAGGAGCATGCCAGGAGAAAAGCCAAGCTCAATTTACATAAAGCAGACTGCAGCCATTTCCATCCTGAGAACTGCTGACAGAACCAGCCCCAGGAAGGAAGGCCATCTCGCTCCAGGAAGCTCCCTTCCCTCATCATGACGGAGCCCTGCCTGCTGGGCTCTACGAGCTCTGCTGCTGGTGCCACCATATGGAGCTCTGCACAACATTCCTGGCTGCAGCACTGAACTCGTACATCTGGCTTCAGAGACGCCTCGCATTGTCTTTCCCTATCTGAGTGGAAATACTACCACTTCCCGCCACGTGGAGGACAGAGGCAGATAAGGCTTTAAAAGTGATCTGAACACAAAGCTTCAGGAGAGCAAACATTTTTATTCTATTGTACCAATCTTAATTTCTGTGGTAATTCCAGAGGGGCAGAAGAAAAGAGAAACCACTGAAAAAAAAAAAAAAAAAGAAAACAGGCTACACAGGAGGTATGGTGAGTTTGCAAGATCACAGTCCAGTGACTTACCGCATTTTTCAGATCCAGATACTTTGTGTTCCTGGTCACTGGCATCCCAGACAGAAAAGCTAAAATGTCATTGTTTGCCTGTAAGTCACAAACAGACAAAAATTCTTCTCTGTGACACCAAGACAAAAATCTACACGAGAAAGAAGTATGTATGTAACATGGGACAAGATAGTTAGCAAGCATCTTGACCAGTCCCCTGAATGGTTCCTGATTTCTGCCTGATTTGATCACTGCTGTCTGAACATCACCTCTGAGGAAAGGAAAAAAAAAAAAGAAAAAAAGAAAACAACAACTTCTCTATTGAGTTAGCAATCTGGAAATCTCAATGCCAGTAACAGCTTGAGAATCCAGGAATTTTTCCCTGATGTTCCTGCTGCAGTTCTGTCCAAATGCTGAAGTCTTCTCTACATCACTGTATAGAAGGAGTAATCCTCCTATTCACTTTAAAGTAACTGCCTCCTCCTTCAAGGCACTTGCCCATCTGGGGTCTAGAGCTAAATCTGTATGTATCACCTGCCTAGAAAAGACAGCAGGTTTCAAGCCCAACTTAGTGTCATTTGGGCCCTTTTGGAAGTCTTGGAAAAAGCTGCTAAAGAATAGAATTTTTGTTTTACAGCTCAGTGACTGGCAACAGCCCCTCACACAACAGAAACAAGGTGGGCAGAGACATGCAGTTCTCACACAGCAAGTCACAAGAGCAACAGGTTAAGTCAGAGGCCAGGTGAAATGCCCACCACCTCCGTGCACAGAAGCACGCCCCCTCTACCCACCTCATCCAGCACAGCATTGCGCTTTGCCCGTTGCCGTTGCCGCAGAAGAACCAGGCCTGCAATGATGTCAGATGGGACGATGTCAAGGTCTCGGAAAAACTCAGCAAAAAGGTAGGCGATTTCAGAGTAGGCGTCCTGCAAAATCCATGGAGAGACAGGTTTAGGAGGAGTTTGGGTGTGGGGAGCCTCAAAACAGGACACAGAATGAAAACCAATGCGGCAGCAATGGCCTCATTTCTGTAGCTCTCTCCAAAACATCCATGGGATTCCTTCAGGGAACACCATATCTGACCTAATCGTTATTAATGCCCTTCGTATTTTACGTAGTTGCACGCATAGGTCTCAGCTGAGACCGAATTTGCACTGTGCTGGTTGCCTCCGTGTGGATAAACAGACCACCTCAACATCAAAACAGGCAAGGCAAACACAAAGGGAGGGAAGGGAAACATTTTCATCTCTGCATTGTAAATAAGGCACAGGAAGTAAGCCAAGAACCAAACAAATCCCAATCCAATGTCATCTCAGAGTCCTACTTTATCCTCAAAAGCAATTTCAGTAGAACAAAGGCGATTCAGGAAAAGTGCACCAATTTTGTCCTATTTAACAGTCTCTTCAATTCCATAACTCTGTCCTGGAATCATTTTCCCCATACTTAAGCTAGACTTCACCATCCCTGGTGCCCCACAGAGAAAGTGAGGGATTTCTGAATCCTGCCACTGAACCATCTCTGTAGCTTACATTGTTTGTTATCACACTCTTTGTTACACGATTTCAAAGAGTTAAATCATGACAAGCAGTGTTACATACTACAGCTTCTGGTACTGAAAGAGCTGAGCAAGTTACCAAGCTTTTCCAAGTTTATCTTGGACCACACCCAAGCAAAAGGGCCTGAAGAGAAAAACCTGTAAAAAGAGATCTGAGTCATTAAATGCAGAGTTCCAGCAGAGAAAGTGACCACCCCCCCAAAAAAATGAAGACACCACAGAAGGGAGGGAAGTGGAAGTGATCTTCAAAAGTCACCCAAAGGCTCTGAAGCAGAGTGACACAGATTTTGATGAGGGATGTTATTTTCCCTTTGGCTCTGTACCATGAAAGAACACAGGGCCTTGAGTGAGAATGGTTTGGGAGGTTGGAGATGGGCTGGACTGCAAGGAGATGCGTCTGGCCATCGCTCAGAACAACAAACTTAAAGGCAGAAGTGACCCAAGGGATAAACAAACAAAAAGTGGGACTTAACAAGTGCTGTGCGACACAGATAGTCAGTATTTTCACTCATGCTATTGCTAAACCTTTCCTATGAAGATTTAACAGTCTCGTCCTGAACCTGCAAGCCTGTATTTTCATAGCAGCCTTTACTCAGAGTTCAGGCCACGTGACTGCAGTCTGGTCTGTAGAAAGCCTGGGCTGTTCACTTGAAGAAAGGCTGGTCTTCAGGTCAGAATCTCTCCATCTCTTTGACAAGCAAGAAAGTAAGTCCCTTCTCCCCCTAGCAGGCTGGTAGGCAGTGACCTACATTCATTCATCTCTGACAAACTCCTGGAGTGCGAGATTACTTTCTGTATTTTTTCACATGCCTACAAAAGGAAGTTAAATCATCTTTAGGAATGGGACTTCAGGTGCCAACTGTGCAGGTTTCCACACCAGCTGTGCTTCTGAAGAGCAAACGGACTTGCATCAACCTCTCCAACATTACAACCACGTAGTCCTCAAAGTACCAACCCCAGAAATCCTACCACCGTTCCTACAAGCATGCAAGAAATGCAAATGGACTCAATATAAAATATAACAAAATAACAACCCCTCCTTTTAACACTCTGACCAAAATAAAAGGTCAGAACAAGAGTCCAACACACGTGTTTTGTTCCAAAGGAGGGGTTTCTGCTGGAGCACTGGATATGACACTGTGGGATTGTCTGCAGTGTTCTGCTAAAAACCCTGGAGGCTCTGGGGCTGGCAGAGCCTTAGTGCTGCAGACTTGACTCCAAACCCTTAAAACAGATTCTTGCCCTGATGCCACGTCCGCTCAGAAGAACTCTATTTTCCAGCTCAGAGGACAATCATCCCCTGCTAGAACATTTTTTCCCATGAAGCCTGGGAGAGGCAGCAAAGGATTCATTTCTGATCCATTACATACGCATTCATTCCACACACTGCCATGCCAGGACAAAGTCAGAGCTTGTTTCTTCAAAGAAAAGAGCCTGGAAATCACACAAGCTGAATGTAAAGTGGGAATTCAATAGCACAAGGAATTTGAAGATTCTGGTATCTGCTTTTATGCTCAACTAGAAAAAAAGTAGAAACCAACAGTCACAGCAGAATGAGAAGTTTGTTTAAAAAAAATCCTGACACGAGGTGAAATATGTTGCATTTCTAGATAAAATACATTTGTTCAGAATCAGGACATTTGGCTGCCCCTCAGGGCTCCCAAGCCAGGCTGCAGTGCCCGTGCTGCCCTGAGGGCAGGCGGCTCTGGGTACCCAGGCAAGGCACCAGGAGGTGCTGCCAGGCAGGAGGGAAGCTGGTGCACCCAAAGCAGAGGGGCAGAACGTAACCACTAAGAGAATGCCGCTCTTTGAGCTTCCACGACAACACTTGTTTCATTGCGGTTTTCCAGACAGATTTTCCTAAGCAGCTCTAGCAGATCTGTGAAGGTCAGCAGTCCTGGGCCGTTCCTCCTGAGGAGGACGGCAGCTCGGGGCCGGATGTCCCCCAGGAGCCACGAGGTGTTTTGTCCAGTACTGCAGGAGCACCTGGGAGGACCAGCACGCCAGAACACTTGCTGGATTTCTGCAGAAGGGCTGTGACAACTCCTGCAGCCATCCACACTTCGGAAACCGCACCCTGAGGATAACTACGCAGCACTTACCAACAACCCTTTTCAATCTAACTCATACTGGTTGCCATCTGTGATGAACACATGTTCAGGTAGCCTGCACCTGACTCTCCATTATTTTTACACAGCTTTTCATCTTATCGCACCTTTCCCTTTTGAGGTTAAAATCCCAGTCTTATTTCTCTTCCTATACAAGCTCACGTCCCTTCCATTACGCTCCTCTTTCTGCTGCATCTTTTAGGAGATCAAACTATATTTAGTGAGAACATCACTGATGTGACCGGTCCCTTGATGGCTTTCCTGTCATTTTCTATGCCCTTCCACTGAAGTTAAATGTTTTTTTCTGGGTGGTTTTTTTTTTTTTGGTCACTGCTGTGCAGTGATGTCTTTGTTGAGGTGCCCTTGATAACTCCTAGCTCTTTTCCTGAGAGGTTGTAACTAATTCAGAGCCTATCAGCGTATGTGAGTGATTTGTTTCTTCAAATGCGTACATATCACCTCATCTTTTTCTATTATGACTTTCGTTTATCATTGATAATTCCCTTGTTCTGCTTGGTCCTTCAGGAGTTCTCAGATACTCTTAATTCTCACCAACCTAAATAGTCACCAGCAAAATTCTTTACCTTATTATTCGCACCTCCACCAGGTCATTGGGAGTGCTGTTGAATACCCCCTTAACATATAAAAACCTGCTCCCACTGCTTTCAGTAGGAATGAATGCGCTGCTAACTTTTATGGAAGCAAAAATCAACCCCTTACCCTCCTGTGTTCCCTCTTCCCAAACCCCTCCTCACCCCCCAGGCTGTTTTCTGTGAGAGAAAGTACCAACTGTAGCACATAAAAAATTCAAAGTGTCAATCTTCATTTGAATTCATGGATTAGATAGTAGGTTTGGACCACTTGGTATCTAGAAATACTCCTTTACCAATTCTGACAGGTTTACATTTTCCCCACTTTCAAAGAGGTCTCTTTTTGAAGCGTAAAAGACAAACTCAAGCAGTAAGAGAAACTGCCTAAGCAAAAGGAAACTGAATCTGACCAAAGTGCTGTCAAGCGCTGAACCTAAATTGATGAAAGATGTATTTTTCCACCAGTATCTTCACTTAAAATCACCCCAGTTTGCCACAACAGCAAGGTAAAGAACAACTTCAGGAGAAGAGCTTAAAACTGACAAACAACATTGCTTTTCTGTGCTATTACCTGTCCTAGAGAGCATCCTGTAATACTCAAAAGCAGAAGGTTAAGACTGGCTGTTTTGAAAAAGACAACTGCCCTCCCCAGCAATGTTGAAAGGTGAAAATCTGCACTTAAAGGGAAACACCAGCTTCTGTTTTTGCACAGAATACCCAGGTTCCCTCCTGCAGAAATGCAAGTGTTGATTCAACCCACTCAGGCTAAAAGGAAGGAAAAGGAACTAGCATACAGCAAAACTTCAAGCCTTTTCATTCTGGGAGGCTCAGCTTGCTGCTTCTTAACGGACATTTTCGATCCTTGCATACGCTGTTCTCAAGGCTTACTGGACTCATTGTGGCTCCAGATCTCAAAGAACATTTACAGGGTAACGAGATATGTCCAGGTTTGACAGCAGGAATCCCACACTGCTATGCTCTGCTGAGTCCCACATACCGTCAGCCACACACGGAGCTTGCTCTCCGACAGGAGATACTTGGTACCTACCGATTGAGAGTCTTTCGTCCGCGTGCAGCAAAGAAAAACTTTGAGTCGGCGTGTCCAGCTGCTGGCCTGCCCTTCTTCCAGGCGGTGTCTGCATTAAAGAAATAAAAAGTAGGTCAGCACATGGGGGCAGGCAGAAGAACATGACAAAACAACAGTATGATCAAATAAACCATGCAGCCACAGGTAAAATGCATCCTAAGCCATACTCTTACATTTATGTTGCTCTAGCAGAGAAAAGGAGACCTCACACAGTTTAAAGACTGAGCTCATTTCATAGGAAAGTGAACTTAGCAATGTTCTAGCCAGGATCAAGCCTCTGTTTTTATATAGATGGCATCCTTCCTGAGCAAGATGGGTGTTCTATATCATCTGCTGAACGCAGCATGTCCAAGCACCTGGTGGTGCACAGAAGAGGTGCTCCACCTCTTTGGAACTAGATGATCTTTAAGGTCACTTCCAAGCTGAGCCACTCTGTGATTCTCTGAATGGAAGGAGTATCTACTGGAAACTTGGTAGCTGCATCAGAAACTTGGTAGCTCTGACGTACCACCACTCAGTGCTAACACTTTACCTTGGGTGGGGAGGGTTTCAAAAGACACTTAGTACTTAAAATAAGAGCTGTGCAAATCTTTCCAATAAATTGCTTATTTGGAAATACATATTTATGCTAAGTAATGCAGTAATATAGAACTGAAAAAAGCCTGTTCTTTTTTCAAGTACGGTGCATAACTTTAATCTGAAAAAGGAAAAGCAAGCTAAACATTCTCTTTCAATTTAGGAAAGGTTAAAAGAGCCTGAATACAGAAGGTTTCACTCAACCCACATTTGGTTTATATGACATTTCAATTTCAGTTCAAAATTAGCTAATCGGACAACCCTATTTAAAATAAACTACAGCTGAGTTCATTCCACTGTTGTGAGCTTGCCCTAGTTACAACACTTTGCAGGGTGACAGTCCCTTATGTTTAACTAGCATTCCTGCAGAACAAACCTGAGATCAAGTCAGACTTGGCACTGTTGAAGCAGGTGACTTTTTTTTTTTTTTGCCAGACAGCCATGCCACCTGCACGTGAGAAAGTCCACAGCTCTTCTCATGCAGGATCTTTTTAATGTGAACACTAACTTAACATGGGGCAGACCCATGTTAATCAATCAAGACCAAATCAAGATCACCACCATTTTTCTGCCAAATGATCACATCAGGAAGATCCCAAGCACAAAGAGTGGGTTGCACCTGGCAGGAAAAGATGCTGGTAAACAAGTACCTGCCTGCAACAGGAGGAGGAGATTCTGCACGGCTATCCATCAGCTCATGCCTGAACATTTTAAAACTACCCATAACCTCCACGGAAGATTCCAAAGAGTGGAACAGGAATACGTGGGTCTTAAGACAGAGCTGGCAATGCCAGTTTGCTCTACAAAACTCCAGAGAACTCAGGCAGCAATGCAAAGAACTTCACAACTCCATCGCGGGGGCTGAAAAGCCAGTGTGCTCTGAGCTATTTTCACTCCAACTTTTCCCAAATTCTTTCTTCCTAACAGTGAACTTCCACACGTTTGTTATGAGCCCCAGAGCAAATTTCTCAGAAAAGTCTCAGCACAATTAATTGCGTCATTTGTTTTGTTTTGATTTATTTTGTTAGCTCTGCAAGATTGTAAAAGCCCCCACGCATCAAGATGCCACTAGTAAAGGAAAACCACTGTGTAGCAGAGTCCAGTAAGTTACAGAGTACCACAAAAAGGAAGACAGTCACGTCTCCTAATTGTGACAAACAAACTAAGTACTTTTATGAGTTAAAACAAAGGAAACATGGCTCAGATTAAGGTAATGCAAAGGTCAAATTACTGCTGTAACGTCAGAAGGCTCTATCAGACCAAGGGACTTCGATAGGAATGGCTGGTCCTCAGCATCTTGCAGAATCACAATCCAGAAACAGGCAGAAAACTTCAAAGCATACTCCTCAGAAGGATTGTTTTAAGTGGAGAATTTCAAAATATACTCTGGAAACAACTGCTTTAGCAGCAAACCTGTAGTAATATTTTATGTTTCCCTCTCACATTGCAGCCCAGAGCATTTTGCTTGTTAACATCTGTTAACGCTCCCCTTTCTACAGTAGAAATCTGCAAACAGCAGGCACAAGCTCTCTGAAAATGTTACAGGCCTGGAGGGAAAAACCTGGCCATGGCCCAAGGGACAAATACCTTCACTCAGTTGTCTGGGATCTTAAAATTCCAGAGGGCAGATCATTTTTGGTGTTTTGTCTTGTGATACCTAAAGTTCTCTAGCAAAAAGAACTTCGTAACCTGTGGCACTCAGTTTTCCCTTGGGGAAAAAACATGGATTAAACCCAACAGTTTTTATTTTTTGTGGGGTACAAGATCCACAGTATCTTCATAGCGTCTTCCAGCTTCTCATCCAGACCTGCATGGGAATGTCTTGATGATAATGCAGCAATTGCACACATTAGGCTTACATGGCACTAACTGAACATCTAAGGACAGCGTCAGTAACATACTGGAAAGGTAAGAAAGAGCATTTTATATTCTGCAGTAAAAACCAGGCTCCTTCAAACAAAGCTTGCCTTCAAAAAAAAGCTTGTTGCGTGGCCCTTAGAAGAGTCTAAGTACTTTTTTCCTACAGAAAAATACAGTCTGAAGTATCCCATTTCAAGACACTGAATGAGCACATATCCAAAACACTCCTTGAATATACATTCCCAATAAGAAATATAAAATTTGCAGAGTATTTTTTTTTTAAAAGTCTCATTTTTAACATTCAAAACATAATGCCCTCAGTCCTACAAAGCCACATTCCTTGCTGACAGTTACATATGTCAAGACTGCATAATAAAACAAAAGCCTGTTTGTGTTGTCCCACTACTGGAAAAAGCTTCTGAAAAATGCCTTGCTTGGTGAAAAAAGCTTTCACATCCCCATCTGGGTAGCTCAAAGATGCAATCAATTCTTAATTAAAACATCTAGCTTCCAACACAAAAGAAACTGTTTCCTGGCCAAAACCAAATACAAGAAATCTCAGGCCAAAAGGTCCTATTTTGCAGATAAAAATAAAGGAGGAAATGGCTTTGGAAGGAGATGCCTCTACCTAAGCAAAATCTAAGCATTGCCTTGCTGTTACTAGGCAAAACACAATGTTACAGGACAGACAAACAAGCTGTTATGATCAGCACTGTGGTTCAAGGGGCTAGCAAGTATTTACAAAACCAGTGACTAATGCATAATCCATCCAGATACCTCGCTGCTTTGCCTCCTTTAGATACAGATGCCCACACACAGCACCTGACAGTCTGCGCTGCATTCCTCCAAAATCACCCTCACCAAAGGGAAGCAACGCCTGAAGCTGAACACTCCCTGAAGCAAGGCAGGGAGAATGCCAAGAAGCAAAGAAAGCAGGGCACCCTTCCAGAAATGCTGCTTTACCGCAGGTTGTATGTCCTCAAGTTGCGCTGTCTCCGCTTCGTGGCACGCAGTTTGACAAAGGTCCGGCCTGTCGGGTCGAAGACGCACAGGACCGTGATGCAGACGCTCAGGATGACAACCCAGTTGCACACAACCATTCCTACAAAGAAAGAAGAGGAGTCAGGTGCTCTGCCCTTAAGTCTTGGCAGCATCATCGTTCTCTGCTCTTCTCCACAGACATCACACGTACCTCCCTGTTGCTGCAGGGCAGACAGAGGAATTTAACCCAAATACTTTTGCAGCCAGCTGCAGCACGAGTAAATATCCTCTGCAAAGGCTTCTGACCACAGCTAGGTTTTCCAGCTGTTTTAGGAGATTGCCTGTGCAGAAGGCCATTAAACACTCATTGAGTACCTAGGTGGACTGTAACATTACCATCGGCCCCCAACCAGTCCGCTGAGGGATTGAAAAGAAGTTCTAGAAAAATGGTAAAGCCATTTTGACCAGAAGAGGAACCAGGTCTTTCAGACTCCCCAGCCAGACCCTTCCATGGGAATGTGAATTCTTGCCTCGGTGCAGACAGCACAGACAAATGAATAGAACAACTGTTCTGAGCTCTAATGTCTCAGGGAAACAAGCACCACATTTACAGCTACAATCCACTTCCAACAGTCAATCCCCACATGCATGAATGAATTAGCTCTCCAAGGCAAGAGGATGTCTGCGCATACACAGGACTGCACACAAACCACACTCCAAATACATACCCAAAGTGACACTCTTTGCGGTGATATCATTGCAGGAAGTGTAGTACTGCGTTAGCCAAATGATGCCCACAATAGCATACACAAACTCAATCACCAAGATAGCTGAAACAAAAGGAACACAATGAATAGTAGCAGCATCTCCCTAAGGATTAATGACTGCCTCTCCTCATCTTCTGGAGAGGAATCTCAAAGACAGGTTCGTTAGAGCAGTGGCATAAGCTAAATGACGGCAGGACTGGGCTCCAGTGCTTTGGAAGGAGTTATTCAAGAAAGCTAACCAAAAACATAATGCCTCCGTAACAGTAACTACTCCTAAGTGACACAGGGACCACACAGCTCTATGTGCAAGTACTCTGGCTGCAGAGGTGAGAATCAACCTTCCACCCATGACAGTGGAAAGACTCCCAGGTAATAAGAATCACCACCTAGGTGATTCTCAACCACCTCAGAGAGCTGGCCTGATTCAAAGAAATGGAGTAAATAGGGATGTGTACCCAGGATTAATTCTGCTTACGACACTGAGCACATGTTCCCATCACCTCTGTCCTTTGCAGTCCTTACAGCAACAGTTGCCAGGATGCAGTCCTGAAGGAAGCATTTACTGGCTCCTCAGTTCTGCACAATAACCTGGCAGCGAGCGAGAAACAGGGGGTTAACAGTGGTTCAACAAAGAAGTTGGGGAACGCAACCAAGTGCCCATCCTCACTTTCTCAATGCATTACCACCCCAAAGTATAGATGGGGAGCCAGGTACTGAGAGGGTAAGCAGCTTACTTTGATATGCCTAGCATGCTGTTGGTGGAGTTGAGACTGAACCCACGTTCCAGCCTGATGCCTGACCATCCACCCTCCTCATCTACACATGGGCATGGTATCGGGCAGCAGGTGGTCTGCTAGAGACTCTCACCATCCCAGAAAGACTGGTTCAGAGAGCCAGGTAGCAAACAGCTTGTGAGAGCAATGGGCCAAAAACCAGAGCTGGACCCAGCCCGTCATCAGCGCAACCTACGTTCTGAAGCAGCACTTGGCATTGCCCTCCTTAGCTGACCTCCCCTCTGAGAGCGCCAGCCGCAGAGCAGGAACAGCAGCAGCAGCACAGACAAGGCTGTTGTGGGCTCACATCAGAGCTATATCCTTCAGTTCGTAGGCACTAAATATCACATGCTGAAACAGGACAATCACACGGACCTTGCCCATGAAAAGGTCACAGCCCTACGTCTATCATCAGAGCTGACAAAACTGTTAAGAGTAAAAAACATCAGCTAAACATACATAAGATCCGTGTTACAGTGTAAAAACAGAATCTGGACATGGGTCTAGTTTAACACAGACAGGGAAGAAATCTGGATTATTCTTGGGTAGGAAAATGGCGTTTTGGATTCTCTCTCCTTCCCTTGCCCCATTTAGTCTGTTTTTAACAGTGTTACTCAAGCTGTCAGGCTCTACGTGCTTCCCTAGGGAGACCGCAGTGTGTCTGGGAAACTGGAGAGAAAGATTTGTTTGCTCTTCATGTTAATGATTTGCACTTAGCACTCAAAGGCGGAAATGTCTCCCAGACAGAGCTTTCAAGCAAGGTTACCCATATTTTAGCAAATTTTGCATGAAAACAATCCAGCAAAAACATGCGATGCAAAAACATGCAATGCTTTGTTGGAATGGACTTGACCCTGCCTCTCCGAAAGATTCTCTTAGAATCGTCACCTAGCAGAAAAAAAAATCCAATCAAGTTTCTGTGTCTAGAAGAGAATAGCAGTATTCTATTCTGGAATACCAGAGGAGAGAAGAAAAACTAAAATGGAAACCCTGAATGACAGACTAAAGAACAATCCCTTTTACAGCCTAGTTCTTAGTGAGTGTGCAAAACAGGAAATGTTTTTAGGAACACAAGATAAATATGCACCCCAAGAGAGAATGCAACTAGTGAGCAGGTGGCAAACCTATTTATCTCCAAGTGCCTGGAGGTAGAGTATCAGAGTGCAGGTTGCTGGATGGAGAGATGCATCACATGTGAGTCAAGAGGTCAGGTACGTCTCGAGGTAGGTGGATGCAGATTTAAGTATATATATGACAGGCAAGGACATGCACATGCCTCAGGGTGAGAACAGCCATGATTTACAAAGGCATATGTCTGTATCATAGGAAAACTTGTGGAAAAAAAGGTGGGAGAGAGGTGTAGATGCATCTCACTGTGGCAGATCTGTGTTGCAAGACAGAAGGGGAGCATATTTTCTTAGAGGAAAAGGATGTACCTGCATCGCAATGAGGATGACAAGTTAAAGGTTTGCTAGAAAGATATTTGGGGCACTGCATGAGAGTCTTACAGCAATGACAGGGTGCAGTATATGTGATGTATTCAGATGCATATCACATACAAGTGGCCATCTGGATGTCTTTCAGAAGCTGTGTGTTTGTCAGGGTGTGGGGAGAGAAGTCTTCTGCGATAGCAGATGGCAGTGTGGAGGCTGAGTCATTAGGAGGCCTCAGGCCGCTGCCTCTTACCCAGTCTGACATAGAGCACATACTGCATGGAGTCCCGGGGCTCTGTGTACAGGATACTGCCTCGCATGCTGAGCCAGATGATTGCCACCTCTGCGATCATACAGCTGAGCAGGATGCCCAGGTAGCCTCTGCCGTGGTCCACCAGGTTAAGCGAGCAGGCCTCGTTGGGGTTGTACACCAGCCCAAAGAGCACCACGGAGAGGATCACAAACCTGCCAGTCACAAACCAGCTCGTTACCACAGGGAGCCAAAGAAAGCCACATGCAACATCCCACACCTGCTGTCCTAAAAGATACTGAGGATCCTCAGTGTCCCACCTAACTCGGCTGCTGACAATTAGTATTCATTTGTTCTGGAAATCCCCTCCCCACAAGCCATCCATGCCAGCCCCACATCAGAACGATTTGATGATCTATGTCAAGGCACAGTATCCCATGGGATCTGCTACTCCAATTGCTTTTCCTGTGCCCCTGTCCAGAAACATTGCCCCAAACTCCAGTGGACAATACTGGGTAGCTCAGGAGGATATAGGAAGCTCTGGTCAGGCTTTTTTTTTGGAACTGGAACTTAGAAGAGCACTCCTCCAAACAACCAACGGCTGGAAATACGCTGGTGTCCATCAGAAATGCCCCACAGAAGCCTTCCAGATACTTGTATAAGTGCAGGAAGGATTACAGCTGTAAGGAACAGGAGCAGCAAAAAATAAATAAATAAATCATGGAATAATTCAAGCCATCATCCTGCCTTTCTCACTTACCAGGTGGTATGCAGGAGGAAGAGGAAGACTGCTGGCAAAACGAGGTCATCGCTGCCTACAGACCAGCGACGGCGGAACACGACAATCCCTGGCATGGCTAGTGGGTCTGAGAAAGTTCAGCAGGCACGACACTCACCTCCTAGAAAAGAACAGAATCAAAGACACTGCTGATCCTCTTCACCCCCAACAGCAGAGCCCCGCAGCCCCATACCAGCAGAAGGACCACACCTGAGAGCCACCCTATTTTTACACCAAAGATGGCAGAGCTTCTTCCTTCCAGCACCAGGGGGCATGGCACGCTCGAGAAGGAGCACACAGGAGAAGAAGGTACAATTTGAAGGGTGGGAAGGATTCGGTGACTTAAACACCTGCTTCACCCGACGAAATCACCACTCACCCAGCTCCACTTCACAAGATTACTGGGAATCCTGTTGCAGCTCTGTGTCAGTAAGTAGTCAGGTGCTTTGGACAGGTTATGCAGGGGCCTCAACCCTAAACAAGGTCCTATTACTGTGTTCTTCCACAAGCATACCTGCTGTAGCCTCTTCTCTCGTCCCAACAGTGCCCTCCCTCCCTTGGCTCAGCAAGCCAGAGTACCATTAACAGTTAGCAGTAGCATTTGACAAAGCTATTGACTGACTCCCAACAGAAAGCACTCAGCCGAGGGAGCAAACTCCTAGGAGATCTCTCGCTCAACCACAAGTTGCACAGAAGCACCCTGCCAGCTCCACATCTCCTTTGTGTTCAGCGTTGGCCCTGGCAGGGACTAGCAATTAAGAAGGTCGAAGATTGAGGGGCTGGCTGTTCCTCCTCGCATTTTGTTTGTGCTCCTATTTCTAAAGCTCCACAAACCCTTTTTAAAAAAAGAAACAGCAGTGATATAAGTCACAAGACTCCACAGGGCTATCCAGACACCTCCTCCCAGCAGAGCTCTCCCACACCACTTCAGTTCTGCTGTGCACGCTCCAGCCTGCTCCAGTCCAATCCTGCGGGGTCAGACCAGTCCCGTCTGTCCCCACAGCACCCCCCCCTTCTCCCTCTGGCATTTCTGGTACAACACACTCGGACCCTCAGCAGCAGCCGTGCCTTCTGTACAGTTTTGTCCACCTTCTACTTCAGAGATCTCGCCTCTGCACGGCCTTCCCACAGCCACCAGAGACCCGACTGCAGCGATGGTTGCTTCCTCCCTCCCTCACTCCAAACCCCACCACGCTCCTGACCTGCACCAGGTCACCACACGCATTGGCCTCCCCTCTGAGCGTCCTCCCAAGGCATCTCAGTCCCAAATCACAGCACAGACCCCCAGCCCCTGCCCACCCTCCACCTGCACGTGCCACAGCCGGGGCACTCCGGCCACGACCTGTGGTCACCACGCTGCTCCACAGCTGTGTCTTGGAAGCAACGACAGCTTTTCATACCAATCTGGCACTTTGCTGCTAGGGAAAAAGGAAAGTGTCCCCATTTGTTACTTGTGATGTAATCAGGACTTCCAACAGCATTTTACGGGGAGTATCATCTGCTGCACCTCACACACCACACAAAAAACTTAACTTGCACGTCTCCAAGTGCTCCGAGTTTAAAAAAAAAACACACACAACGGTACAAGTTTCATGGTCACGTTTAAACTAGTTTGAACCTTCTTCACTGTAACGCGAGTGTTGGTTCTGTGACAGACCAGGACTGTATCACAGCACCAGCTGCTGCAGGTAGAGAAACCTCCCCGTCCTACCAAGGCGCACCCACCAGTCACACGCGGTTACCCCATCCCTTTCCCACGGTGCAGACCACCCCAAAGCAGAAGCCTCCCTGCTGTGCTGACACCCGGGGCCACCAGCTCAGCCCCACCTACCTGCTTCAGTCCCCAAGCACCGAAAACACGCACAAGTCTTGCGCACTTTCCGGGAGACTCCATAGCGAACAGGCTGACGCTTCCAGCACGTTACTCACTTGGGCGAAGGAAACGCTCCATTCCACAAACACAGCGAATGTGCAATTACAACACCATTTGGATTCACACTTCCTTAGCACATAATAATCAGAGCACTCGGTACATTGCAGCTCTACCTTCAAACTGCTCACTCCTCTGGCCATCTGGCAACTCCTTCCAGCCTCGCCGCGAATAACCCGCCTGCACGACAGCCCCTGTGCCTCCAGTACCGCTAGCCCCGCTCCGTATACAGTGGATGCACTTTCCGACATCCTCATTTGCTCTGCCTCTGGCCAAGCTCAGCTCCCGTCATCCCCAGCTCACAGCTGTGTCCCACCGAGGAGCTTTCCACAACTCTTGGACCCCTCCAAGCGCAGGCAGGTGCTCTCTGCCTGCTTTCACTGCCCCACCAGCTCGGGGCAGGGTATCAGCAAGAGCAGCGAGCACCTGAGATGAATTCCTCAGGCAGCAGCCCAGCACTCACCGTCACACACGAAACCGGTCACCGTGGGGCTGTCGCTCCTAGCTGTATGCTTAGCAGGCAGCCAGCACGCTGCAAAAAGAGTCCCGATTAATTTTGAAAGACTGCCTGTGCCAAATCTGAACTGTGAGGCCCAGGGCCTCATCCCTGGTTTGGGAAGAAAGGAGATGATGGAAGGCCTGAGACTGTAAAGCCCACAAAAAAAAAAAAAAAAAAAAGGCACCACCATAATGCTGTCACTGTGAAGACTCTGGCTGCGTGCCAGAGTAGCAGATCCCAGGAGTTACATTTCCAGAAGATGAAGATGGGAGTTCCAGCAGGGGAACTGGGAGGAAAAGTGGAAGGTCAGAGTGCAAACAGCCCTGAGACCACTGACCCTAGTTTGCAACAACAAGAATCCCTTGCACCGACCCAAAAATTGCTCCAAAGAGTGGAAAAATTCCCAGGACCTTGAAATCTGAACCGTGGTGCGAGAAGCCCCAAGCTCCCAACGTGAAATTCGGGGGAGGCACATGCAGGAGCGAGCTTTGCGTGCAAGGAGTCCAGAGCCCTGCCCCTCGCATCAGAGGCAGATGTATGGGAGCAGAAATCTTACATGGCCCGCGGTCCAGCTGCCGCTCATCCTTCTCTCCCGTGAGGGCGTTTCAGGAGAAGAGCACGTCCACGGCGCCAGGCATCACGAGCGAAGGAGGGAGCAGCAAACTCTTCTTGCAGCCATTGAGAAGCCCGGGCGGCGGAGGGAAGGACGGCGCGCTGCCTGCCTGCTGCCCACGGAGCCGGGCAGCATCCTCCCGGCAACTCCCTCTCCCTGCGAGCCTGGTTTCTTCAGCGGGGCTGCCGAGAGCCGAGCCAGGGGTCGTGACTCCCCCTTCCACACCCCCGGCACCCTCTGGAAGGAAGTGACATCATCCCTATTCTGAGGAGATTGTGTGCGAATTGTGGGAAGGATGGGGAGCAGCGAGAGCGGGCGACGCTGTCAGATGCGTGCGGGGAGATGGGAGGGAAGGGAAGGCTCCAGCAGCGCCAACCTCGAGCCTCCTCCTCCCGCAGCGAGGCCGGCGGCACCGGGAGCGCCGCGGGCACGGCCACGGCTCGGAAAAGCACCCAGGCATCGGGAGGGTGCTGAGCCCAGCCGGGAAGGCCTTGGGCCACCGGCATCTCCTCTGGCACGCACTGAATGACCAGGGGGAGGGGAGCTGGACGGGACACAAAAGGGGCACACAGAGGGGGCCACCCGCTGCAGAAAGGAGAGCCTGTTCCAGAGGAGCAGCCTCTGCCGGCCTTTTCAGCCGCTAATTCCTTGTGACACGCTCTGGGGTATGACAGGATGTGGGGGAAGGGGAGAATTAGCCGGCTGCAGGGGAAGGCTTAGAGAAAAGAGCAAGGGAGAAAAATGCTACAGCGAGACAACATTCCAGCTAAACCTGGGAGATTTAGTCTAATCCAACATCCCATCACGGCTGACATTAGCCTGGGAAGAAGGCGGGCGAGCACAAGCTGAGCCCAGCCCCAGCCCAAGGATAAGGGCTGCGCGCGCCCCGTGCCGCAGGAGCCCACCCACGCCACGCCAACAACCGCAGGAGAATCAGCGCCTCCCGGCTCCCCGCACCACACAGGCACCCGAGGCTCAGCTGCACCCACGCAGCCCACGCCGACTCCTTGTGAGCCCCCTCCAGAGGCTCCCCCAGCCCCAGACCCACCGGGCCAGGGGCTCGCTCAGCTCCCCTCCTCGGCTGCCCCAAATGCTTCCCAGGTCCCCGCTCGGCCTCTTGTGTTTCAGACCGTGACCTGCTACTCCTGCCAAGCTGAAGCTGCGAGGCCAACCGCATGCCAAAATCCGATCCCGCACAGCGCCACGAGTTTCTTCTCGCTCTGACGGATCGCCGGTGATGTCCACACAGAGACACTCGCGGGGGGATGCCCTGCTAGCCTGGCACACTCATCATCTCTCCCTGGCACCAGGCGGTGACCTGTGTGCGACAAGACACCGTGCAGGATGATGGAGCAATCCCAGCCCTAAGGGTGGCTCTGCAGACACGCAGCAGTCACCGCAGGACAAGGCCCCTCGCTGCCCCAGCACTGCTCCTTCCAGGGGGAACAGCCCAGGACTGCCGTTTTTCACAGAGCTGCTTAGGAAAACCCGCCTGGAAAACTGCAATGAAACAAGCTTTGTGCACTCTGCCCCTCCGCTGGCCTGTGCGGTCTCAGCAGAGGTGGCTCCGGGTACCTGGGCAAGGCACCTGGTGGTGCAGCATCTGCATTTCCAGAGGGACGTGTTCCAGAGATGCATCCTCTGCCTGCCACCACGCAGGATGGCACTCACGAGCACTTCCCGCAGCGCTGTGCAACTTTCCGTGTCTCCTTACAGCAACGGGAACACGTTCTGCCCCTTGTCAGCATGCCGGCATGCCTTCACCTTCCTAAGTTATTTATTAGAGCCATTGAAGCTCGCTGGATTTCTTGTGAATGCCTGCAATTTTATTTTTTTTTTGTATATACTGAAGTGAACTCAGAAAGCAACAGCACTGTAAAATAACCACGTTTGTCACATTCAGGTGACCAAAAATGCCATTCAGCATGATTAACCAGACAGCTCCCGACCCTTAAGCGTGTGCTGCTTCATAAAATCCGAACCCTTCCCCTGCTGTAACAGCATTTGGGGAGCAGGCAGGGTTCCAGCCCTGCCTGAAGCTCACAGCCCCCCTTTCCCCTCCTCACAAGCACACCCCACAGCCACCATGGGCAGCCTGCCCCACGTCGGGTCGCCACCTCTGCGGCTTACAGAAGCCCCCTGTTCCTGCTCAGCATGCCTTTCTTAAGCACTTACTGTACGTGACGGAAATCATCAATTAGAACTTGGACCCAACTTTATCAATCCTTGGCCAGCTATTTTTAAAGGCCTTAAATGAAGCTCTTTCTGTTTCTGAGCTCGGACCCTCACAATCTGGGAATTGTTCCTTGCAGCGAGACGCAGGGGATGTGGTTTCATCCCCATTGAGATGTCCCGAGGCTGGTCAGGCATTTCCTTGCCGGTGTCTGCATGCATGAAACCCATCTGGCCCCATCCAGGACGTGGCCTGAGGCAGGAGCTGGACAGCGAGGTCAGCTGTGTCCAACTTCCCTGCACAATCCACCCCACTAGCAAAGAAAGGGAAGAAATGAGCCAGGTGACAGATGAAAGAAAAGCATCCAGACCTTCAACAAATGCATCCCCTGGATGGGAATACCTCAAAGTAACATGGAGGGATGCCTACTGAGTGTACAAGGTGAAACGGAGGCTCGTACTGTGACAGGAAGACAAGTCCCACAGCACCAGAGGAGGACGAGTTCTTCCAACACAGGGCTGCCTTTTGCAGGCAGCAGCAGGTCCGTATTGCAAGCAATGCCTTCAAGAACTGCAGGGAAAGCTCCTTCCCTGGGGGGAGATGGAAGAGCGGCTGCCAGAAGGCTGTGAGGACAGATCTGCCATAACTGAGCAGGCTTAAGGGAGCAGATTTGTATTTTGAAGAATATGACACGTATTAACGTAACGTCTAGGAGCCACATTTACCATCAAGTCACAAGCTGCTCGGCACGAGCAGACAATGCAGGCAAAGTCACGGCTGTTGGAGTACCGGTCTCACACCTACTTTGAAGATCCTCCTCCGTACCCTCCTATTTTCCAAGCAGAAGGAAATAAAGTGAGGCAGTGCCCGAGCCACGAGGTCAAGTCATCAGGTCTGAGCCATGGAAAGGTTCAAAAAAGCCTCCTGTGGCCTGGCCTGCTTCAGGCAGGGCTGCCCCACACCACACTGTCACCAGCGGGGAACTACTGCAATTAGGTCAGACCCGGAGCCATGACAGTGCCCACTGACACAGACACCCAGAGCACACGCTGAGTACAACCTGAACTTCAAACCCCACGCATGGGGCAAGCACTTACCATTACATCCTGCTTTAAATCCCAAATTTTGGTTTAAATCCCAAATGTAGGCATGATCCTGCCCTTGGAAATGCAGTAGCGATGGCTACCAGACTAGGCTGGTAGCAACAGAGCAGCCCAACGCGCTGGCCTGTCCCCAGCTCTTCGTCTTCGTCCCTAATGCTTCTTCAAAGCCACCGTCCTCAGGCAGAAGCATCAAAGTGTCTTCAGGTGATTCATCCCATCGAGGTGGGACAGCTGGACTAGATGATCCTGGAGGTCTTTTCCACGCTTCATGATTCTATGATTCTAATTGCACGTGCTCCTTGCTTACATCCATTCCCTTTGTCTCTTACCCCAGACACCTTGGGGAGAAATTGCTCTCGTGAGTCCTGCTCCATCTTCAGACAAACAACCTCTCCCACCCGTTTACCTTCTTGAACCTCACAGCCTTGCAATTTACACCTGGGAATTTCAAAAGCCTCTTATCAGAGTTGTTCTGCTTTGTTTTCAGAAACAGCGCCTCTCCTCTAACAAGGAGAAAAAAAAATCAGCTCTCAAAACCTTACTACTGAAGCAGAGGATGTTGTCACATCTGCTACATGCTCTGAAATGGCTATTTTCCTGTAGGATGATGCCATACAGAGCACACCACAAAGGGTCCAAGATGGAAATATCACCCGCTCCTGAGTAATCATATTGCTAGTCCCAGGTGATCAGAGCCATTAACTGAGATTTAAAAATTCACAAGTGTATTTCCAAGTAGAAATGCTCCCATTACCATCTTTCAGTTGGATTTCAGAGTTCTGCAGACAAAGGGTTTGAGTTTCCGAGCATTTTTCTGCAACTGCAGGGACTGTAACTTCTTCCTATCTAACAACAACACGGGAGATAACAAGCATTTAAGAACAACAACAAACACACTGCAAACTGGCAGCGTATCTGCCTCTCTTCAAAGGAGCCTCACACAAATGGAGCGTGTGAGGGAAAAGCAGGTGACACGCTCACCCTCGGGCTGGGACAGTGCCTTGCTTCTTTGGGAGGGCTGGCTAGCTGTGTTGCTGCTGCCTTCAGCATGCCAAGATGAACACGTTTTCTGAATGATTTTTCTTCTTGAGACACACACATACAGACGCTGGAACGACTGACACATCTGCATGGCGTGTGCTTGCCCACAGTGCTGCCCTTCTTCTGGAAAAAGAAAGAATTTTACCAACTCTCACTGTTCTTACTGCAAGAACATGGAAAAATCCTAAGCAGAGCTGAATGATACCAAAATGCTGCTACTACTACTCGCAGCGCTCCTTCACAGCTTTCCAGCCAGCGGTTAAAAGCAGGATGAGGAATCCACGGAACTGAGAAGAAAGTGAAGACGCTCTCCCCCTGGCGAGATGTTCCCACAAACCTGCTGCGATGCCCACGGTGCCCCTGGCACCAGCCGAGCCTGCTCTCCTGGCTGTGCTCGCAGCACAGCTCTCCTGAGCACAGCAAATGCTCCCAGCGAGTGTACTTCAGGGGTGGCTTCGCCAAGGGGGCTGCCCGTCATTCTCTGCTGCAATTAGCGAGATGTGTGTAAATAGAAGAAAAATTGGCAGGACCTAAAGTTCCCCTCCCTCCTCCCCCCAAGTTGGCATACCCCACAGGCCAGGATTTATCCACGGGCAGGCAAGGAACAACTTGGCAGGGGTAAGCACAGTCCTCTTAAAAGCGTCTTCAAGTGCCAAACAAGTTAGCGCATAAAAACAGAGATCCCCATGAGAAACCTGACTGCCCAAATTCAGGAAGAGTGATGTTCAGTGATGTTCTCGGATGCGAAACAGCCTCACTCTACAGCTCCAGGACGACCAGGGATTTTATCTCAGGAGGTCTTACCACAGCATAGCTCCAAGCTTCAGGATTGTCAGGCTACAGAATGTTAAAAAGTCTCCACAAATAACTGGTCAAGAAACAACAGAAGTCGACAGACAGCCTCACCTGAAAACGAGCCACTTTACTGGAAACCTAGGAGTACAAAAAGGAGCACAATCCAAGTCTGCTGACATTAATTTAGTTAAAAACAACACCCCGTCGTTGTATCAATGCCGACATATCTGCAGCCACCTACATTTTGTGCTAGCAAAGCCCACAATCTGAGCTTTCTGACGATTCCAAGCTCGAGCAAAAATAATGTCCAAGTTGCTAGGGGAAAAAAAAATGTATTAAAAAGTGAAACTAATTTTGTATTTCAAATAGAACTTACTGTTCTACAGGGTAATAAAACCTGCTAGTGGTTAATAGCCAGCAGTCAGTGACAAGAAAAGCCTGGCTTGATCAGGGAAGGAAAAGGATGCTGGAAAGTATCACTGGCACGAGCCAGCACAAGTCTGTGGGCAAAGCCAAAACGCCGGGCATCCCAAGCCCAAGTGGCATCAGCAGGCAATGCCAGCACAATACTGGCCAGCCCATGTTTGCATACGAGGTACAGCAGTTAATTTTTCCTGGACCCATCCACTGGGGATTGCAATTCTTCGTTTCTTGTTGTAACATCTCATGGCTGCCTTCAAAATTTGGTAATTCACAGTTGTAAACCACACAACTATTAATTCGCCCTTAGCAAAACCAACCAGGGCTGGGTTAAGTCAGCCAGGGAGAGAAAGTGGTAAGTGGTGCTTTAAGGAATATTTTGGATGTAATCAACCGCTGCCAACCCGCCACCCTTGTTTCTTCAGGCAAGCTATTTTTCACTACAATCCTGGCAAATTCAAATCTGTCAGTTTTACTCCACCCAGGAACGCTTCTCAGATCAGCCTCCTGATCGACCAGGAAAAAAGAATCAGGAGCAGCGTACCTCGGGGTGAAAGTAAATGAAGTCGGTGACGGTTCCCTGAGGCGGCTAACCTCCAAGTGCCCTGTCCTCAGGAAGAGGGGAAACTCCAGCCACGCTGAAAAACAATTGCCTTTCTGCGATACCACAGACAGGCTCCCCGGCTTCCTACTTTACGCTAGTGGGCAAACAGTTTTCCCAATAACTTGACTCATTGCTTCGGGAATTCCCTAGAGGATGAGTCACATTGCAGGGAAAGCCACCAGTCATTCTACGGGGAGCTACACGGACCACCGCTGCCAATACGAGAAGAGTGAAAGAAGTGGGAGAACAGAAGATCAGTGCCAAACTCTGGAAAACGGTGCGGTCAACAGCGCTCCTTGGCACTCCTTCCCTGCTCCCCTCCCCAAAAAGCACGCCAGCGTGCAGGAGTGCTCACGCCTGGCTGTGGAGAGGTGGCAGCAGGCTCCCGAGCCTCACGGTGGGGTGCTGGAGGGAGGAAGCGCTGGCTCTGCTCGCATCAAGAAGCGCCTGACAGAGGAAGGAAGGTGCTGAGGAGATAAAACCATGCACTGAGGGGAGTGGAACTGGCAGCACGAGGGGCACAGACAGAGCTGCAGAGCCCCTCACTGCATCCCTGCTCAGCAGGGACCTCAAACAGCACTGCTTCTGCTGCCTTACAACCCACCACAGCTTATACTGCAATTTTTCCTTTCCTCCCATCCCATTAGGACGTTCCTAAGTGCATCCGTGGTCCAGTCAAAAATGCTGAGAATGCCTGCTGCACGGCAAGGCTGCATCCTAAAGCACCTTGCAATAATGCCACTTGCAATTGTTGAACAGGGATGCTAATGACGTGAAATCATCAGGCTCATCTGTGCTGGAAATTCACTTCAGACAGGCTAAGGCTTACCTGGCTACTGCTGA